CTACACACTCCCACGAGGTGTGAAGCAGCTCACCGGATACAGAGTTCAGCACACAGTCAACCCCAACACCATCAGTAGCCGCCATCAAATCATCACGGAAACTGGTGTCGCGGGAATGGAAGATTCGATTACGCGGGATTCCAAACTCTTTGACCAGGAACTCGGCTTTTTCTTCTGAGCCCACGGTGCAGTAGATATCCGCCCCTATCCACCGAGCAACATTGATGGCCGCTATACCAATGCCCCCTGCAGCAGCGTGAATCAGAATAGACTGACCCTTGGCGAGATGCGCCTTGTCAAACAGCCCCAGAAGCACGGTGACATAGACGGCCGGCATGGTTGCCGCGTCCTCGAAGCTGAGATGGTCGGGTATCGGCAGTACAAAGCCTCCAGGCCGTTGCACTTGGGTAGCAATACCGGTCGAATTCGTCCCGATCAGCATCACCTTATCCCCTGGCTTGACATGATCGACGTCAGTGCCGACTTTGCTGACGTAGCCAGCGCCTTCCAAACCAAAGGTGTTATACCCGTCCCCGAGAGCATCGACACTGTTGATTACACCCATGGCAATGAGCACGTCTGTGAAGTTTAACCCAACTGCCTTCATTTCAACCTGGACTTGGTCTGCAGGGAGCTCCGGAAGAGACCGTCCACTCCAGTGAAGGGTCTGCAAAAGACCTCGTTTGCTGATCGTCAGGGCTTTGGTGTCTGGCGGCGCAGCAGTGGCCTTCAAGGCGCTTGGGATAGGGTACCAGTGGAAGCGTCCAATGTGCACTGCCCCGTTTACCCAGGCAAATTCCATGTCTGGATCTAATTCAGCCATTTCATCTTTGCACCTTTGCACTCTTCGGAAGACGTTCAGAGCTGCATCTGCTGCCTCGGGAGTGCCGATGTTCTCAAGCTCTAAAGTCGCTAGTGGCATATCCAGCTCAGACCGGATGGTCCTTGCCACTCCGAGAATCAAGGCTGCGTGCGGATCCTTCGCGTTGATTTGTGCCGGTGGAGTAAGCCAAAGCACAGAAGCTTCTTGCAGAGACTGAATCGTTTGTAGTAGAAGGTCCCAATCCTTGTCAGTGGGATCTTTCAGGAGGGGTCCGTCGAGGTCCACGAAGGAAATCAGGTCTTGGTCAGCAGGCGGTTGCTCTTCTGAGCCCCATTGGTAGTGTTGAGGACTGTAGCCCTTGTCGCATAGCAATATTTCCAACTGAAGCGCAAGTGGATGAATCTGGGATTGGCCAGAAAGAAGGCTGACTTGCTTCTGATACTCAAAATGCATGGCGGGTCTGGCGACAATGTTGGCATTGATATGATAAGGTCTCTCGTTGTCAAATGTGACCGTCTCGCATCCACTGAAGCCTGCGGCACGCAGTCTGGTGTCCCATTCCTCTGGAGGTAGGAATGGTCCTTCGATACGGCCGTCTGCCTCGCCGAGCCACCAGCCAGAGAAGAGACCCTACCAATGTTAATTATCTGCGGTAAGGGAAGTGAGGGCCATAATACTAACCATTATAAACACCATGCAGTTTGTGACTATCACTGTTAGCTTCTGGGAACGATTTGGCTGCCGAAAGATACACTCACTTGGAGATAGCTCTTGCAAGAAGAGACGACCCTGAGGCGTCAGAAGCGTCCGTACATGACTAAGGGTATCATGCAAAATGGGAGTTGCATGAAGAACCTGAGCTAATATCAGAGAGTGTGCTCACAATGTCAACTCATAATGTAACCTACATTCGAGGCAATGACAAGATCATATTCCTCAGCGTTGAAGCCCTGTTCCAGCGGATTTCTTGAAATATCAAGCGTCTTGTATTCGATTGCATCGTATTGCTTGAATCTTTCTTTGGCAGCAACGAAAAATCCTGAAGAAACGTCTGTAAATGTGTACTGCAGATACAGTCGCTCCCCGAATTCAGACTGGAGGTGTTTGAGTATCTTCGCTGTTAAACCACCTGTGCCAGCTCCAATTTCGAGTATCTTCATTTGAGGTTGGGTGTGGCCGAGTAGTTGAAAGAAATCGCTTACATCCCAAATATCATTCATCCAGTCGTAGATCGAGGATAGTGTGCCGTCATGAATCAGCAGATCCAAGAAGTCGGTCTTGCCCTCGAAGACGTTTGCCAGCTGGTCGTAAGAGCGCCAAACAGCTGCTGCGATTGCACCACATCCTGCAGCTCGACATTTGTCGAGTACCTCTGTTATGAGATTACGACGAGCCTCGGTGGACATATTCACTAAGTCTACCGAATCCTCGACGAGTGGGTAACCTGGCTGCTCAAACCTGGGGCATTGCGTCGTGAGCCACCTACGATATCGCTCGAAGTGCGGTTGGGTCGCGGTGACCCCCTGAATGGTTTTGTTCGCTTCCACAGCGCACAGCAAATAGAGCCGCTCAGCGAGGGCAAGCTGTTCCCGGACATCATACGTCGGACGTGTCAGCTTACTGGCGTCAAGGAGGGAGAAGTCCGGCTTCCATTGTAGTGATAGCGCCGTCAAATCAGGGGGGCTTTCGTCTGATTCTAGCGCAGTGCCACGGAAGCCCTTCAGGAGGAATACCAGATTCCCGTCGTTTCCGACACCGTAAGATTGGCCTTGTGCCACATTACGGCCAGTTGTTGCGGTGCTGATGCGTATCTCTTTACCTCTTCCGTCACCAACAAATAGCTCTTCGATGAAGGTTGGCAGGAATAGTTGGTTGAAGGCGCGGTATTCACCCTGGAATGCGGCCACCGTCCACGTTTGCAAGACGAGGTCGAGGGTAGCTGGGTGCAGAGCGTACAACGACTCGAACTCATTTCCCGGGCGATCAATGATGTCGGCCGCGGCTTTCTTCTCTGTAACACCAGCAGTAATATTCTCAAGTCCCACAAACCGAGGCCCATAATTTAGACCTACTCGTGCCATGGTTGCGTACCATCGAGGAGAAGAAACTTTTCTAGGAAGCGTCTCGGGTATTCGCGTTGCTGAGGCAGGACGGGCAGATGCGCGGCCTTTTCGTACCAGTCCTGAACAATGCTTGTTCCATCCGGCACCATCGTACGAAACAATCTGGAATTCGTACCAATCGCTGTCAAGACTCGTTGTCAGGCGTTGGGGACGGAGCGTCGTAACCATTTCAGTTGCCTGTTCCTCGTGTAGAACAAGTGCCTGACGAAGATCAACATTCTTCACTGTATAGTCGCGGGTAGTGTCATCCCCAAGTTGATAAACCGCCTCGCCCGCCATGGCAATGTAACCGGCAGCCGGAAAGATTATGTCGTTTCCGACACAATGGTCCCTCAGCCAGGGTACATCTACGATGCGTACTTCGTTTCGCCATGTCGGCACCAGATCCGTCCCTTCAAGTGTACGGACGCCCAGCAAGTCATGAGGAAGGTGTTTGCGAAATCGCCAATTCTTCATGACCCTAGTTTCTGACCAATAGCTTCGCTGGTATTGCCATGGGTATGTCGGAAGGTCTGTCAATACGGCAGCATTGATAGGTTCCAGAGGAATCTTAATGGTCACGCCCAACGTGTACAGCTGGCCCACGGCGGATAGAAATGAGTCTGTGTCATTTTTGCCTCGCGATAAGGTTGATATATATTGGACCGAGTGAGATGCTTCTTGACAGATTTGCCGCAATGGGCCTCGTAGCGTCGAATGCGGACCGACCTCGAGAAGTACCACCTGTGGTGAGTCTCTTAACATTGAATTCACAGCCGAGCGGAATAGCACAGGTCTTTCTAGGTTCTCTTGCCAGTAGCGAGGCCCGAATTGGAACGCTCTGGAAAGGACCTTTCCGCCATGCACGCTAGAAAAAAATGGAACCTTGGGTGGGCGAGGATCCAGATGTTTCGCAATAAGGTTATGATATGCGTCACCGACAAGGCGCATGTGATCTATGGAGTGTCAGTATAATTAGTCGTAGGTCAGACTTGGGAGGCGTAAATACCTGAATGATATGCCATCTCCACGTGCAGTCTTCGAACAAAAGCATGCTCGTTCTTCTCCTTAATGTCGGCCATCACCTTCTCCAGGCTCTCTATATCACCCGAAAGAGTGACACTAGAGGAACTGTTCTCGCAAGCAATTGTCACACCTGGAAGGATGAATGGCGTAACTTCTGCCTTTCCGAGGCTAACGGCCGCCATTCCTCCCATCTTTTGTGGCTTCTTGCAGATATATCCGCGATAGAACGCAGTGGTGAGGGCATCCGCCTTTGTCAAAGAGCCTGCAGCATAGGCCGCGGCTATCTCACCACTAGAATGGCCAACTACTGCCGAGGGAGTAATTTCCCACGTCTCAAGTAGGTCGACAAGCGACAGCTGCAGAGCAGTGCAGATTGGCTGGGCGTATTCCGCTTTCGCGAGGATAGATTTGTCGTCACAGTCGGACAGAACATCTGCTCATTAACTTTAGCGACAATACAAGCAAAAAGGGTGATATGGTAAGACTTGCCTTCGATCGACCATGATGGGGCATGTTCTAAGCTTTGTAAAATCCTATCCATCGACCGGATGTTGCTCATGAACGGCGGGTAGTCGGCCATCAGCTGTTTTCCCATATGGACCCTGGGCCTGTCAGTACTACTGAACAGAACAGATAAGTGGAGCAGTGGTTTACCATTGAGCGCCCTGTCCGGTGAAAACAAATGCTACTTGGCTCTGACTCTGACAGGTTGTTGCCACAGGCTCAGTGAGCGGTGCTTTGCCATCAGTCACACAGAAAGCTCTGTGTTTCAAGTGCTCTCTTCTCTCTGCAAGGGTATAAGCGACATGCTGCAGGCGATTCGGATGCACGAGTATATAATCCTGGTGATTTTTGACAATTTGCTTCAACGACTCTGGATGCCCAGCTGAGAAGACTAGCACTGTTTTCGTCTGCTTTGGTTCCTGGAGCGCTGGCGGGATGGAATGTGTGACACCAAGTCCGAATGAAGCAGCCGAGTCAAGAATGAACTGAGAAGCTCTTTGTTAGAGAGAAAATTTGTTTCGTCTAGGCACCGGCTTACATGGACATTAGATCCACCGATCCCATAAGAATTCACACTCAACCTCTCGGCGCGATGCTTGGGCCAGGGACAAGGCTCGACAGGGCTCGCTGTTGTACGCGCTTCGCACTTCGGCCGTTGCTTTTCTTAGCACCTCCGGGTTTTTGAGCAGGTAGTACGTTGTCCCTGATAGTGCTGTCGCGGTTGTTTCCGTACCGGCTAGGAGTAGGAAGTTGACGTTTGCTTCGACCTCACCGTCCGTCAGCTCGTCCGCAGTTCCTTTGCTTCGGAGTATATACGAGATGAAGTCTGGCTTGTCGCGCAGGATTCCCCGCGCCAGCCGCTCCTCCGTATGGACACCGACGTACTGGAGATGTCTGAGTCTGGCCTCCTTCAATGCCCGCGGGGCAAACAGTCTGAGGAGCCGCTGCACGTCCGTGTATGATGCCATGGCCCTGGCATAGGGGCTTATCTTGATGCTCTTCCAGAATGCGTCCACCCATGAATGATAAGCGGAGTCTTGGAGGCAATTGAATGATCTTCCAATGGCCAAGTCGCCGATGATATCAAACGTGGTAAAGTTGTACCACTCCACAAGATCGATCCTGTTGTCCTCTGCGTCGGCTATGCCCCGCAGTCGCTGTATAAGCAGATCAACATAGTGTTTGACGAAAGGCTCCTGGTCGCGGAGAGCTTTTTCTGAGAACGCGTAGGAGAGAGCCTTTCGGATGCGCGGATGGTGATCCTGGTCTGCTGTGAAGATGCTAGGGCTCTTATCCCGAGAGAGCTGGATGAGGCCGTAGAAGGATGGGTCTTTGGGAAGGGCGTTCTCGCGGAACCCGTAGATGTCCTTCCACGCTTCTGCGGAGATAAAGGAGAGTTCGTCGGGTGAATAGCGGACGACCGGTCCGTATTTGGCATGGAATGCCTTGATGGATACGTCGAGAGTGCCTCTGATGCTGGCAATGTGGCGGAAGATGTAGCTGGTTTGCCAGAGTTTGGGGCCGGGGAAACGAGAGAGAGGATGTAGGTAGATGTTAGAAAGACTGTTCAGAGCGGCATACAGGACGAGCTGCGTAAGAAGTAGGTTCTGTGTCAGCTTTTCCACACCTGGGGTTGTGAATTGAGTCCTTACTGAGCCCAGAAGAGCCTGGAGGATGTTACTGAAGTTGAGAGTTGACAGTTGACCGACAGCTGAGCTCTCCATGAGGAACGACATCTTGCCTGGTATTCCTTGATGATTGCGTGAAAGGGATGTGAAAGTGGTCTGACTCTTAAATATAACTCATAGCGGAAGCCCTGATATCACGTATATTAGTCGTGCTCAGGTGAGGGGCTCGCGTCCACTGGTTAGTCTTCACCAAAAATGCCGCAGATAGACGATGCATATGTTGGCTATTCTGGCATATACTTCGCTGAAAAAATCGGACATATCCACAACCCCTGCTGGTAGAACCCATTTCCCTACTCGTGCCACTTATTTACACACATCACACAGTCGCTGACCCTACATCCCGGATTTGCCGCAGAATTTCAGCACTATCATATTCCGAGTAACCTTCGTTTCTAAACAGGCATTGGGCCAGTGGATTAATGATGGCCAGGGTGCGCATGGTTTCCGCCTGCGACGCTTCTACCTGCGATGCAATGTCCTCGAGCATTTTCGCCGTGACCGACGTATTTCTCCTTATCAAAGAGTCATCAGCAGAGGCACTTCCAGTCTCAAATAGCAAGGACGTACACCAGATTGGCCATCTTCGTGGAGCAAAGCAACAATATACCCGGTCCCAGCCTGTCTGCGAGTAATAACCAACGCTTGCCGTACTTCTTCCGTTCGTGAAATTTGGCCCGCAAGTCAGACTGACGTTTGTTACTCAGATTTCTCCAGCCCTCGTGAATACTTTCCAAGATTGTATCGATGATTCGAGTTGCGTCACCCCGACCAATGGTTGAAGCTACTGTCGCTTGACGAGAGTCATTCTTCCAGCTTTGATGCGTCTTTGTGTACTCCAAATGAAGCCGAATCAATGCCATGCGATTTCGAATGGCATCATCACCCATCCGCACATCCAGCTGACAGACAGAAGAGTAAGCCAGTTCAAGGTCTCGGTACCGAGATGTTCCCGCAGAAGGGGACAGGGATTGACACGTCTCGTGCCACAATCCTTCTCTCGTCCAGCGGGGGAGCTCAGACTCCAGCCATCCGATGTGGTCCTCACAAAGAATATATTGGGATACCGACTGGACCAGCGCATCAGAGGAATTCGAAATAATAGGAGATAATTCCAAAAGCTCCTCGAAAACGGTTGGTTCTTCTTGTGGGAATGGAGGTGGAACGGTTATATTCTCGCGCGATGAAGATCTCGGGTTAAATGACACTGGATGATGCGAGGTAAGACTGTTGCTGTTGATCGGTTGAGTACGAATGTCGACCGGAACCATCGCAGATGGAAACGTGAGCGGACAGTTTTGATAATGAAGTGGCACGGCATCGAATGTGTTCAATCCGTTTAACGGAGTGCATGGTGTATCTGTTCCGAACAGTGACGAAGTGCTACAAGCAGATTGGCTCGTCTGGGAGGAACGTTCGGAGAGGAAAGAGAAAATGGAGGTATTTGAACTTGTGGTCGGGACTGGATCATTGACTGTCCTCTCTCCTTAGTTCTGTTGAAGAGCACTGGAAAGAGCTGTGATACATACGGTCCAAAGGTGCAGAGGATTCAAATGGCAGCAAGCTCGCAGTCGTCATGAAGCTGTCAGGGCCCAGATCTTCAAAGGCGTCTCGAGAAGTGTCCAATAAGTTCTCTAGCTCAGTTCCTTGTGAGAGGGGCCCCTCATTCGAAGGCCAACTCCCATACGCGTAATGAGAGTCGTCCAAAAGTTCCGGCAAGTCAATCTTTTGCCATAGGAAGTTGTCCCGCTGGAAGTTCCCTTGGATGACAAGAAATCCCCCACTCTCTGTGTTGTAGTGAGCATTGATATGAACTGGTCCAATGGATGTTATACAATGATGTCTGAGAAAAGTACGCAAGCACTGCATGAACTGCAATGTGTTAGTGCTCTCTAAGGAGCAGGAACATTGCGGGCTGTCAGTCGAACGCATCGTGACCTGTCAATTTTCTAGCAATAGGGACCTCTCCAGGAGCAGCAGTGACCGCCATTGATAGGTATATTTTGCTTTATATAACGCATCACAATGCATTGTGTTGGCTGCTCCTCATTGGCGAGGAGAGCCCAGTTGCATCAGCATCGAAGCATCCTAACAGAAAGCGGCCGATAATGGCGTATCCCAAAGGGTGTGGATATTATCGATATCATGTCTGGGTCTCGATTGGCCTGGACATATACAATTCGGACCTCCAAATTGAACTAGAGCTGCATGGCCTCGAAGATGGCAGATGCGAAAGAGGGGTGGAAGGGCGCTTGGCCGGAAAACGGAGAGAATCCCTGGTCTTTCGAGGCGTTGGTCCATTTATGTATTAAATGTCCGGGAGATAAGCCAGGGGAGGACTTTTTAGTGCTTGCTCTGCGCCACAAAGAATCAACTCGAGAAATGGACCGCCCGATACTGGCTTGTCTTCTCCCTATGGACGATGGGGCATCCAGATATTGATAATTATTGGCTTTCTGGCGCTCCTGATGGACAACTGAGCGGATGTAGAAGTTGTGGACGCCTCCAACTGGATACACCATCAGCAACGTCCAATCGATCCTCAATCACAGCCTAAACGGCTAGACAGGGATGCATGACTCGCCTTTTCCAAGCATGCCAATCACGGTTAGAAAAGGCTTCGCTCTGCCCCATCCAGACAAGCATCTGTAGCGTCCGTGTCTCTCCCCACCCAGCTATGCTTGAGAACACTCTAACAATGATAGGCATGAGCTATATAGGTGTCAGACTCTAGCCGCCAATCAATCGAAACTCAGTCGACTGGGATGTCTTTGAGAGCACGTCGATACCTTACGTTGTCGCATATCCGATAGTCGAACAAATAGGGACCACCTTGGTTTATTTGGGAAATTCTTTTCTCGTCGACCTTTTACTTCAGACGAAAGCTCGGCCTTCTTTATGGTCACTTTACAGGTTCATATCCATTCTTCGTTTCTTCGCTAGCATGGCAATTCAATCAGCATCGGCTCCTTCTGGTGAGAAAGGAGACGGTAATGCTCAGATTCAGTCTCAGCCTGTCGGAGCTTCCTCATCTGGAAGACCTTCCCCTGATCCAAATCTGGTGAGCCTCCCTTCGTGGCAGCAGATTTTCTTTATACAAGGAGGAACAATCTTCAAATCTAACAGAAGGTCGGGTAGGTGACGTGGGATGGTCCCAACGACCCTGCGAATCCCAAGAACTGGCCTGCGCGTCGAAAATGGATGGTCTTCATTCCTATGTCCCTGTTCAATCTCTTGAGCTCAATGTCCTCGGCCACGGTTGCCCCAGCTCTGGAGGCAATCGCCGATGATCTCAAGATTCGTTCCCAAACACTGCTCATCATGAGTCTTTCCGTGTACCTGCTCGGTAGTGCAATAATTCCCCTTGTCAGTTCACCTCTCTCCGAGATGTACGGACGAGTCATGATTCTCTCCGCTGCGAACATCTTCTATATCATCTTCAATACTCTTTGCGGGATTGCCAAGACGCAAAACCAGCTTATTGCATATCGATTTCTGGCCGGGTTAGGGGGCGCTGGTCCTTTCGGAGTATGTATCTCTAATGTGTTTCTTGTCACTAGTGCTAATCTGAGCTTTGTGTAGATAGGGAGCGGTATGAACAGTGACCTGTTCCCTCCACAGGACCGATGGAAGGCCATGGCAGTATTCACCCTGGCTCCACTCCTAGGAACGGCTATCGGTCCCATCACCGGGGGTTTCCTTGTTCAGTATGAGTCCTGGCCGTGGTGCTTCTATGTGGTCTCAATTGCTGCCGCTGTTGTCCAGCTTGCCGCGTTCTTCCTGCTTCGTGAGACATACGGTCCTGTTCTATTACGAAGGAAATGTGCTCGCATGCGCAAGACCACTGGAAATTTCAACCTCCACACTGAATACGATGGCATGTCCTCGACTGCTTTGCTACATAAGAACTTGATCCGGCCATTCTATTTGCTAGCCACGCAGCCCATCATCCAGGTGCTGAGTTTGTATCTGGCTTACCTCAATGGCATCTTATACCTGATGGTTGCTACGTTCCCGGACGTCTGGACAACGATCTATCATGAATCAGACTCAATTGGATCGCTGAACTATATTTCTCTCACAGTTGGAATGGCTATCGCAACGCAGCTGGGGACTCGGATTGCTGACCGCGTTTACCAACGACTGCGTGCTAATAATGGAGGGGTGGCTCGGCCTGAATTTCGCTTGCCGATTCTCTGTGTAGGAGCATGCATTGTCCCCATTGGACTCTTCTGGTATGGTTGGAGTGCCCGGCCGAGCATTCACTGGATCATGCCGTAAGTATTCTCTTGTGGATGGATGGTCAATCTACCGTAGGAAAATATCGCTGACCCCGAGAAGTAACATCGGTGCCGCCATTTACGCCGGTTCTACTGTTGTACAGTTGGTTTGTGTCCAAAGCTACCTCATTGACACATACCAGCTTTTTGCCGCAAGTGCCATGGCCGCCGTCATGGTTCTACGAAGTCTGTTAGGGTTTGCATTGCCCTTGATAGCCCCCAGTTTGTAGGTTCTCCCCATTTCTAACGCAGTGTAGAGAGCTCTACTAACATATAAAGATATACTACCCTCGGATTTGCCTGGGGAAACAGTCTACTGGCGTTCATTGCAATCTTCATTGGAATACCTTCACCACTGCTCCTGTGGTTTTATGGTGAACGATTGCGTGAGAAGAGCACATACGCACGAAATACCTGATGACATTAATCCCTTTTTCGATAGGTAAGATTTTCAGGTACTACCGTCGGTTGGTATTATCTAGGTTAGGAGTGTAGGACAGATGGTCTCTGAGGTGATACTTACTCAGGGGTACAGATACGACATAGTGGTACTGAGGAGGATTGGTTGTCGCATGTCACGTACACTGACAAGTCTAGTCTACTTCTATATGCGTCTATCTATATAGGTATCAGGTATATCCAAATGTAAGGTACATGTACACTAAGTGATTACTTCCCTTCAGCCCTCCAAAACAACCACCCCAGTCCAATGACAAACTTGAACCCAGCCGCCATCCACAGAGCAGACTGCATCCCCCCACTGCTCCGACTCAACCACCCGCCCGCAATCGCCCCAACAAGCAACATCACCACTCCTCCAACCCTCCGATTCCGCTTCGCATTCGACGCCGGCCCCGCCCCCAGCTTCGGATCAGACGCAACATCGAAATACACACTCGTCAGCACAACCGCCGGAATCTCATTATACCCCAGCGCGCGGCTCGACGTGATCGACCCCGCAGACTGGAACGCCAGCAGCGCAATCGGGATCAGCTCGAGGAAGAGCGGGCCCCCCGTCAGCGCGGCGTCGTCCTCCGTATGCGGGATCAGATCGGCCTCGATGAGCGACACGGCGATGACGATCAGGATGGTCTGCACCATAAAGGAGGTGAAGAGGGTGCCGCGGCGGCGGGCGCCGGTGCGACGCGTCACGTTCGAGAAGATCATCGCGCCGATGAAGAATGAGACGATAGAAGTCAGCGATTTGAGCCAGCCCCAGGGTTTGCTGGTCGGTTGGCCTGAGGCGCCAAGGCCGAGGAAGATGGTGTTTCCTACACTACGTCAGAACTGAGAAGGTGATGCTTGGGTGAGTGAGTCATACCCGTCTGCATGGCGAGGAAACACGACCAGGCGTTGTAGGCGCTGCTGTCGCAGAGGCCTGTGTTCAGGGCGAGGAGCAGACAGATGAGGTCCGCGTAGGTGGGATCGACGGATTGCGCCCAGCGCTGAGCAAAGGTCGCTCGTTGCTTTTGTGATTGTTGCGACACTTGGTTCACTTGCTGGGGGTGCGCTTCTAGGTCAGGCGCACCAGCGGTTTTGTCGGCCATTGTCGCGGAGCACAGCCAGATTCGATTTTTTGAATTTGTAATCCTTGCTGTGGACGTGATACACTCCGTAGCCGGCTGTCAAGCGTCAATATAAATCGTCCGAAAGTGACAGCGGCGGAGCTGGCCGAGGGCGAAAATTTGCGCGGATAGGGAAAACAGGAAAACCGGAGAATATCCGACCAGTAAACACGTCTTATACTCTCTCTGTACTAGTCTGGCCTGCAGCTATGACTAGATCGGCAAGATATTCGCTGCCTGATTTTTAGGCTTGAAGCTATTCATAAAAGGGCAGGTGTGCTCATCGAGAGCTCCGATTGCGAATATGACCTCCTAATGCTGGATTGTTATTTGTCAATGCATTGTCGTGAAAATGCTGAAGAAGCTGCCAGTGAGACAATGTGGGTAGGGCCCACCTCCCCGCATACATAGGGCTGAGGTTGGGGCATATTACGATCGGGAGTTGTCGGTCCTCGGTAGATGGATGGAATATAGAGTCGCAAATGAATGGATATTCATTTGAAGCCTATCTCCCTACTTCGTGATGTACGGAGTGTATTATTGATTGATGACTTCATTGTGCTGTCAGGCTTCGAGGCATCAATGCAACAAGGCAACCTGGATCGTACGACAAATAGAGATCAGATGAGAATAAACATTGAGCATACCCCGGACGAGATCAGTCTGACTACACACGATCCAGAGCATTAGGAAGAGTATATGTCTCAAAGATCTAGGCCAGTCCACCACCTTCGGTTTGCCCACATATGGTCGAGAGACTGCGCACATGAGGATGACACCTTGGGATGGCGACTAACTTCAGTGACACAATTACATTATGGTCATTCACTGCAAGCAACACATCCTGTGTTTGGTACAGCTGCTTCAGTAGCTGCATCCTCATACGATAGTGCATGGAACAAGATCCCTTGAAAGACGTAGCAAATCCCTCAGGAGTAAATCGCGCAGAGGCACGCGACTCCAGTCCAAATGAAGTCAAATGATATCACTCATACAACAGCCAGTCATGACATGTCCTCGAGAATATCAGAGAATCAGTGGCACAAATGATGGCTGCAAATGGAATGGCCACGGATGATATCTCTGTGCGGAGAAGCTGATATTGCTGAGTGTGGGCGTCATCGCCGTGTCATCAACGCCACCTCCATTGTGTGATCGAATATAACAGCGACGAATCGGGGCAACTTCTTTGTTCTTCAAACAAAATCTGAGAGATTGAAGTTGCACCAGAATAACATTATATTGTTGGTGAGTAAGATCGGCTAGCTCGCCCCACGTCCTTCATCTTGAGAAGACCTTCAGCAAGAGGACTTAATGCCTTGCCAGCTGATATTAACTTCTTCAGATCACACAGGTCACAGTCAAAAATGGCAGGATCGAAAACTGAGAGCGCTGTGCGCTTCCCCGAAAGGGACAGCCAGACCCGTCGTCTGCGCAACCAAACCACCCAAGACAAGAAGGCTGTGGCTCGGATGCAAGATCAGGGTGCTTCGGCTCAAGCCAGGGTTGCGAGGGCTACTCATGCCGGTGAGGAGTGGACGCCAGTCGAGAACTTCGAGACCGCCATGGACCAGGACGGCAACCCAGTACCTGATCCCGCGTATACCGACTATGAAAAGATGAGGCAGCACAAGGGTGGCGAGGACGAGGCTGATGACTATGTTGCTGCTAATGCAAACTTTGACTAAGTCGAGGATGCCGTTGCACATTCCAGTCACTCAATACGAAGGACATGCGAATTCTTGTCTCAAGGAAGAATGTGTAACTTGTTAGTACGTCGCACTTGCAGGACGAGAGAGTTGCCTTTGGCATATTCGCGGAGGCCGTAAAATACGAAATCAAATCACCTTTACCACTCTATACCTCACCATATCTAGTAGTCATGCTTCAAGAGTAGTCCGGATCGATAGGTCATAGTTTGAGGACCACGCCCTAAGATTGTGTCTTTCAACGCCAGGAGTTTGTTCAAAGAGCTCATAGAAGCGGTTAACCAGCGTGGATACCGAAGTCCGAGGCTTGTATTGCTGCGCTTGCAGGCAAGCCGTACTATGAGGAACAGAGTTGCTTTCTGCAGTCTTCCCGAATTAGTCGGCTTTCTAACACCATTAATACACAGACTTCTTGTCTTCAGGAATTAAAATCCGCAATTGACTGATAACGGCGTTGTATGGCGGGGCTGCGGTGATACCCAGAATGACAGCCTGATTGCTATGGCAACCCCTGACAGCAGATCGGGATCTTAGTGCCTCAGGCGCCCACAATCCCATTCTGGCAGAATCCAAACGTTGCCTGAGAGTATCCAGCTTCATTACAACAGGAAGTCCACCTTAGGTGGAATCAACTTGTCATTGCTGATCGCCTTTGCGACTTCAGGCCTTTTCCTTTTGGATCTCATCTCTATGCCGTTGCTGCATGTTTCTTTCTTTCAAATTCCATTGCAGAAGCCCCTCGGATTTACCAGTATCTCTGCTTACCCCAATATAGGCGGTACGGTTGATGAATCCAACAAGGGACAAGAGATCTTAATTCACTCCTGCAATTGACTCAAGTCAGACCTTTTCTCTTGCGTTGAAGGAAGGCGCTGCCAGCCACGACTTGTTCATCCTAAGCTTTTATCGACCCTCGTCTATTCACGACCAACTGCTGCAACTTCACTCCTTCCTTCTTTTGTTGGTACAGCTGTCTGTATGTACCATCGCCTTATTCACCGCCACCGTGAGCTCGTCACTCATTTTGTACATATATTAGAGGAACGCAGTCAAGTCATGGCGCTGGACCCACGCTTCTACCACCATCTCGGCCACCACACCGGACCTGGCTCCCACATCTCCTCCTCGTCGTGCGGTGCCTCAGCAATCACAGGCATAACCAGCCCTTCAGCTATGTCTACTTCCGCCTCCGCGGCCACGTTGCGCTCTACAGCCTCCGTTCCGTCCCTTCGCGCGAGAGAAGGCGTCGCTGTCTCAGCTAGACGTTCGGATGGCGTCTCGAGTCCAACACCTGGGGGTAACGTCAAAGTCGTCGTCCGTGTGAGGAAGTTTTTACCTAGAGGTATGGTCGCAGCCGGGAGGCACAGGTACAGGCAACGATGAAGTGAACTAACCTTGGCCTGAATGGCAATTGAATCGTATAGAAACCGAGCGCAATGCGGAATGTCTAATCGAGATGGATCCTCACACACAAATGACCAAGCTCAAAGCGCCCAGTGTTGACCCAGAAGACGAAGGAAAGCCAAAGTCTCAAGCTCGCGGCAAGGTCCTGGAGGACAAAGCGTTTGTTTTTGACAACTCGTTTTGGTCCCACGACCCCAATGACGAACATTACGCTACCCAAGAGGACGTCTACAACTGTCTTGGCGAGGAATTCCTCGACCACAACTTTGAAGGATACCACACTTGCATATTTGCGTACGGGCAGACAGGTTCGGGAAAGAGTTATACCATGATGGGGACTCCAGAGCAACCTGGGTTGATCCCTCGGACGTGCGAAGATTTATTCCAGCGTATCGAAAGTGCAGAGTCACCTGATGTCAGCTACAATGTCCGCGTGTCTTATTTTGAAGTGTACAACGAGCATGTTCGCGACCTGCTGGTTCCCCGAACCGACCCTCCGCATTACCTCCGCATTCGCGAGTCTCCCTCAGAGGGCCCCTATGTCAAAGATTTAACAGAGGTTACTGTCAGAAACTACAACGAACTGATGAAGTACATGCGCAAGGGCGACATGTCTCGCACAGTCGCGAGCACCAAGATGAATGACACATCTTCCAGGTCGCACGCCGTATTCACCATCACCTTGAAGCAGATACACCACGACCTTTCGACAGACGAGACGACTGAGCGCACGGCCCGAATTCGCCTGGTCGATCTTGCAGGATCTGAACGAGCCAAGTCTACTGAAGCTACTGGTCAACGACTCCGGGAAGGGTCCAACATCAACAAGTCGCTCACTACCCTGGGCAGAGTCATTGCGGCTTTGGCAGACCCTAAACACGGGCGTTCTGGAAAGCGCAAAGGAAAGGACGTGGTGCCGTACAGAGACTCAATACTCACGTGGCTGCTCAAGGACAGTCTTGGTGGAAACTCGAAGACCGCAATGATCGCATGCATTTCTCCCTCAGACTATGAGGAAACCCTTTCCACCCTTCGCTACGCGGACCAAGCGAAGCGTATTCGCACTCGTGCTCGGGTTAATCAGGACCAAATGTCTGCCGCGGAGCGTGATAAGCAGATTGCAGAAATGGCGGAGACTATCCGAGCCCTTCAGCTAAGCGTAAGCCTGGCCACTGCTAACAGGAGGGAGACCGAGATTCAGAACGAGCGACTCGAAGTCTACCAGCAAAAGGTAGAGAAGATGCAGAGACTTATGGAAGAGACCAAGATGGTCAGTGAGTGCAAGATCCGGCAACTGCAGACCGAAAATGAAGCGCTTCGCAACCATCTGAAACTTGCACTGGACAGCCTCAAGAATCCCATACCCCTGGTAACAATCGAAAAGCGCAAAAGCGGCTTATCTGCTTTGGGAGAAGAGAACGGCAGCACAGATGACGGGGTCAACGAGACCCGGCCGCAGTCACCGATTTCTGATGCAGGGCCGGAGCCCGATCTCATCTGGGAAGATGATGACACGATCCTCATCGAGGCTAGTCAGGTCAAAGCTCAGGAAATGCAGGCCGACATGGAAGATTTGCTGGTGGATTTGAACATGTTCAAACGCAAACTGGCCACCGACCATGAACGATTTCGATTCATCCAAAAGCACGAAACTCGCAAAAGACGTCGTGCGTTGCAAGTTGTTTTGGCCAATAATCGCTAGGATATGACGCCCGAGACGACGATTTCAGGGAGGCTTTTTGTTGTATATTCAAGAGCAAGCAGGAGTTTGGACTCTGGAGTTGCATGGAGTTCGTGGTTATCTGTGCTTTTGAAAATTGCCACAGGATACTTGACAATCACAGTTAGACCCTTGGAAATTCTTTCGAACCTCCTTCAAGTCTCTGATGATGAATATCTGCCGGTGAACCATTTGTTAAAGGGCTTCTTGTTCTTACAGCGTGTGCTCTTTTGTGCTTTTTTGCAATGAAACGATGGGATGATATTATGCCAGTACGATACACGTTGACGAATTGGTTTACGAGATAATAATGAAGCCAATAATTTATTTTCTGCATAGACTCCCAAGTATGAACCTAGAAAACATTGATCGGGATATCTAAAGTGCGAGTATGCAGCCTGAATTATAGGGCTGCTTTAGTGCCGGCCTTGGCCTTTCCTCTTTTGGGCCTCTGACTCAACTTCCGACTGGTGACTTTTTGACGCTTTCGATTCCGCGGACTTCCCTCCTAACCCCACAATCACCAAGAAAAGTCGCCAATGCCCCTCTCCCTTTCGCTGTCGCGTTAAATTAATTGAGTTCGAGATGGCGACTCCCATCAATCCACCAGTACCTTCGTCAACATCAGAATCTGCCACTACCGCGCCGGCGCAACAACAATCTACCTCCGAAATGCAACCCCAGCAACAGCAACCGCCCCGCGAGCCCAAAGGAGCCGCGAAGAGCGCCTCAAAACCCGCCAAACAGTCCCAAAAACCCAAAGAGGGCACGTCCGCGGCCGATGGAGCCTCGCCGGCCGATGCAGGATCCCAGAAACTTACGCCCGTTGAACTAAAGAAGATTGCCAAAGCAGAAAAGGCCGCCCGCAGGGCGAAGGAGAGGGCCGAGAGAGAACAAGCCGGCGGTGCGGCGCCGGCGCAGGGCGCCAATCCCCCGTTTGCGAAGAAAGGGCAGACGGGTGTTGGGGGGGCTGGTGGTGCGGGCGGGAAGGACGCTGCTGCTGCGCAGTCGCAGAAGGGACGGGGGTATCTGCCGCGTCGGGGCTCTGCGCAGGCTGCTGGGGGTGCGGAGCAGAAGAAGAAGCAGGAGGATAAGAGTGTGGCTGTTTTTGGACACCTGTATGGGCAGCAGCGGAGGACTACGGTTGCTGGGGCGGGCAAGGAGGTGCATCCTGCCGTGTTGGCTTTGGGGTTGCAGATGAGGGATTATGTGATTTGTGGGAGCAGCGCGCGGTGTGTAGCGACGTTGTTGGCGTTCAAGAGGGTATGTTTTCTCCTCTCTCTCTTCTTTGTTGATTATGCTGATATGTTCTTCTCCTCAAGGTGATCGAGTCCTACACAACGCCTCTTGGTACCTCCTTGGCTCGTCACTTGACTACCCACCTCTCCCACCAGATCACCTATCTCTCCACTTGCCGCCCTCTCTCGATCAGCCAAGGAAATGCTATTCGTGCGCTCAAGCTGGCTATTTCCTCGATTGACCCGTCCGTCCCGGAGGCCAGTGCCAAGGCGTCGCTAAGCGACTTTATCGACAGTTTCATACGCGAAAAGATCACTGTTGCAGACCAGGTCATTGCGGACAGTGCGGCTCAGAAAATCCAGGATGGCGATGTAATTGTGACATACGCCGGCAGCTCGATTGTCAAGCAAACTCTTCTGACCGCACACAAGCAAGGCAAGAAGTTCCGGGTATCCATCATTGACTCTCGTCCGTTGTTCGAGGGCAAGAACTTGGCTCGGACATTGGCCAAGGCGGGTCTCGAAGTCCAGTACTCGCTTGTCAACGGCATCAGCCATGCCATTAAGGACGCTACGAAAGTGTTCCTCGGGGCTCACGCGATGACCAGCAATGGTCGGCTGTACTCACGCGTCGGCACGGCGCTGGTCGCCATGTCTGCCAAGGAGCGGGCCGGTGGTGTGGAAGTCCCCGTCATTGTATGTTGTGAGTCCGTCAAGTTCACCGACCGAGTTGCTCTTGACAGTATTGTCGTCAATGAAATTGCCGACGCCGACGAGCTGGTAATGAACGAGCCGTTGCAGCAAGTGACAGGTCTGCCCGACCCGGCTGCCGTTGCTCAACCAGAGCCCAAGAAGGGCAGCAAATCTGCTACGAACCCCAGTCCCTCCGAGTCTACTGCGGTCACACAAGGCACTTCGCCTCTGAAAGACTGGAAAGACACTCGCAACCTGCAGCTTTTGAACATCATGTACGATGTGACACCGGCCGAGTATGTTGACATGGTCGTTACCGAAATGGGTAGCCTGCCGCCAAGTGCCGTCCCAATCGTGCACCGGATGAGCACAAATTTGTGAAGTTATCCAAAATAAAGACAAACGAATCTGCTCGTTTCGTGATGGCACTTCTCTGGTGTCATGGACATGGCAGAAAATATAATTGGTCATCTAAATGATCACACCGCGGTGGCATTATCTAAGATGAAGGATGATAGCTGCGTCAGTGGGCAGGACTACGGCAAGTGTCCGTTGTATCGAATCTGCATCCTCCATGGTTTCGTTCTGGGCAAAGGGTCTACTACTTGGGGTTGACTATTCCAATGTAATGATATTCGGCTTTTCTGAAGCTTAGCAGGTCAATCAAAAAAAGTTCCTTACATAATTATGCTCCTTTGTACGCCGTAATTGGAGACAGGATGCCTCTACATCAAATGTCTTGAAGATAGCTGCCTGAGGCAACAAAAAGAATCGATCCAAAGGCGGTGGAGTGTCTAGATCTTATCGCTCATATTGTTGTATGTCCCCTACCTTTGAGTACTCTCAGCTTGCCCAAACAGATATCCAGTGAACCCACATCCGCCTCGATTGCATTTAAACTCGTCGAATCCCATCACAGCAAATTACTTAAATAAAGGATACGATTTCGACATTCGCTGCAATCCAAACCGCAATTCAAAATGGTTAGCCCATCACCAACACATCCAAACAAACCACCCCGGGTGACAGTAACTAACCCCGAACTACAGAGCAAAGACTCCTCCCCCACAAATATCCACATGCATCATCCCCGGCTAGCGGATTACTTCGAGGAATTCACCCGCCCACACACCTCGCAAACAGCCAACATGACCGCATCCGCGTCCGCCTCCCACCTCTACCAGCACGGCTACAGCCACGGCGTCACGTACGGCTCCTCCTCGCCGACGCTGGTCCCGTCGTACCTGCCCATCGAGGAGATCTACGTGCTGCCGCAGTATCAGCCGCCCAATCCCGAGGATGAGGATGATGTGGTGCCGGACCAGCATGCGGCGTTTGGGATTACAAGGGCGATGGAGCGGAGGAGGGAGCCGGCTTGGAGGGATTTGGGGCTGGAGGGGTTGGTTGCTGGTTGTGGGAGCGGGGTTGGGAAGGGGAAGGGGGTGAAGGTCAGGGTTAAAGAGGCGGGACGGCTGATGGGTGGGAAGAGGACGGTTTGTTTGCGGTGATGGTGCTCTGTGTGTGGGTTGAGGGGTCATTTCGTGTTTGGGTGTTACTTTGAGAGCGAGGTGTTGGGGTTTGTTTTTTTTTTATTGATACCAGGTTCAGGGGTCAGGAAACAAGGTCATTACTATTGTCATGTCTATCGTGACTCCGACGCCGTGTAGCGGCGGTAATATACAATTATATGCGAATAACGTCCACCCGTGCCCGTTCGTAGAGCTTATGACTTAGCTGTTTCTGTTCTCGTTCGTCTGCTGCTATTACGCGTGGGTGAATCGCCATCTGTGCATATGTCCCCGCTGCTCGTCGTTTGGATAGTGTGCCGGGGTTGATCACGAGGACGCTGTCGACGACCTGGGCGACCGATGTTAGAATAGAGAGCGAGAGCAAAAGACACTGAGAGAATACCTTGACAAATGGGGGGAGGAGACTCGGGGTAATTAACACGTCCGGTCGTACATTCCACCACTCTCCTAGCTTGGAATAGCTGAGGTCTAACATGGCTCCCGTCGCAACACCGTTTTCAGTTGCTGGTTTGGGAAGATTCTCGCGGGAAGAGGGAGGGAACATGGGAAGGAAATGCCGTTGTTCTATTAGGTATTTGGGCAGCCGAGTCAGGAGACTGCCTTCTTTGGGTTTGCCGTGCAGGACCTCCTCTCGTCGTAAATCATATAGCACGTCATACGAGCACATACCAATGACGGTCTCGTTGAAGGACAACGTCACGGGGTTGGATACCATCCGGACCTGCTTTGGTAACCCGAGCTCTTTCTTCGGTAACTGCTCCTGCGGCCAGGAGACGTGCTTGCTCAGCGCATCCCGAACGGACGGTATCATCACAATCGTAATGCTGGGCACAGCAGCGACGAGTTTCTGTAGCGGCGCTGTGATGCAGTGCCTGAACACGGTTGCCAATGTGGCAGTGTCGGGGTCAAATCCCTTCATATTGGGGAGGTCAAAGTCCCCTGACGCCAGCAGTGGATGCTCAATATCTAGGAAAGGCCCCATCAGTACAAGACTGTCCGCGTAGGTCTCAGCGGCTTTCTGACAGATCTCGTGTAGCGGCTCAAAGGCGAGATTGTCATCCGCCGTGTATGGTCCAGACGCGATCAACACATTCAATGGTGAGGGAGAGCCGGCTTCCTCTAGCCTCTGATTGATACTGTCCATAGTAACAGGAGAAGACGCCGCAGGTGGTAGTAGGGGAGGAGGCAACACCTCCTTGACGGAGAAATAGTTCCCTGAGGCATTGATCCCCTTCAGCGCAACTATTTGTCCAGGGAAAAAATTCGCTGACGGTACGGAATCCAAGTTCAATGGTACACGTAGACCTGCGCCTGTTCGTCTGGAGGTCTCAAGAACAAGTGACGCAGGATTTAGCTTCCCTTCCAAGCTGTCTGAAGCGATACGTCCGACGGCAATAATCTCGCTTGTGCTCTGGATAGCGGCGCTGCCAAAGTTGACATCGTCCGTTTCATATTCTTTCTGGTAAATTTCGGTAAACTCATCGATCCGGTCGTCCAAAATTTCCGAGGCTTCAGAAACCCGCATCGCCATCGGCTTATACCCAAACTTCTTGAGGTCCGTATTCGCAGTGGGCCTTATCCTGGCTTCTGAAAAAGGTGCCATTGGGGTCTCGGGCATAGATAAATGCGCATTGAGTGTCTCTATAATCTGTCCGGGATTGGGTCTTTCTGCGAAAGGCACCGATCTGCTCTCAGTCAGTCAGGCTCACGGACCTCACGAGACTGGTCCATACTGTAATCCATTGACTGCACCGCCGCCGTTGACAGCTACTGCAGCGGGTTTCAAATTCGGAGACTGATTATTATCGGTCTTTCCGACCTTCAAAAGCGAAGGAGATCCGAAGTCTGATCTGCGTTTCGTCGAACTATTCATACCAGTTGGGGTTCGGCCAGGGCCATTGGGTGTCAATCCGTCCAATCTAAGTAACAGTGCTTGATAAGCGCTTCCGACCTGACAGAATAGTGGGATGACTGCTCAAAGGGCCTTACATTCCGAAAACATCGGACGTATTTGCTGCTCGCGGAGTCGCTGTCACTGCGCTTCGTTTTTCGGTCTGTCTGCCAGCCCTTCCTCGGCTTTCCCTTTCCAATGCCTCCTGGACATCCCGCTTGAATAACCGAACTGTCTCCAGATTCAGCTTGGTGTCTTCCACGCCCATCTTCAAGCAGTACGATTCCCATTTGTAGAAGAGCTCTTGTGGGGGAATCGAATGCACACGCAGTATAGACTGCAACTCCGCAAGGACGTCCTTGGGTAATCCATCTGGCGATGTGGCCGCGAAGAGCTCATTGAGCTCTACTGTAACATCATCCATATCCATCTTCGTATAACGATATCGAGGTAAATTTGATGCAGCAAGAATGAGCAATTGCACTGTCAGTTGCTATAATTTCCGCCATAGATAAAACGCGTCAGATACGCGGGGACACGCGACGCCATTAATTGTCACCGCCTACCGTTTTCTGATATTCTACGTCTTAGGCATCTATGATCGTCTTCTGTTATCCTCCAGTGGGGCTTGTCGATCACGATGAGGATTGACGAAACTAGGAAAAAGCAAAGAAGAAAAGTTCTGATTCTGTGACATAAGTTCAGCACTCGTTTAGAACATTGACGCTTAGATTTATGAGATATAGAAACTTGGTTTGAAGACATAAACTCGATCACAATGAGTGCACCGTCAGAAGCTCCCGCTGCTGCAACGGCTTCAGTCACCGACTCACAGGCCAATGCTCCGGCTTTGTCAGCTCCATCAAACCCTGTTGAGAATCAAACCTCTGCTGCGACTACATTGCAATCCACGGCTCAGGTTCTGCCTTCAAATACTAGTGCGAGCGATGAGAAAGATATTGAATTGGACCTCCCAACTTCTGCTGCTGATGGCCTCGTTCAGAAGCCATTCCCTCGCCCTCTTGACACAGCAAGACCAGCGGCTCTTGCTGAGCTTACCCCTGATCAGCAATCGAAATATGAGGCTGTCCTGAAGGCGGTTTCCGAATGGACCACTGTTCCGACAACGTCGGCAAAAAATGCTCCCACGGCCCCAATTACAGACGATGAGCGCATGTTCTTGACCAGGGAATGTCTTCTGCGGTACTTGCGCGCTACGAAATGGAATGTCGCCGAAGCTATCACTCGACTTCAGCGCACTCTCACTTGGCGCCGCGAATACGGCCTGGAAAAGCTGACTCCGGATTACATCTCAATTGAGAACGAGACAGGAAAGCAGGTCATCCTCGGATACGACATCCATGCACGACCCTGTCTCTACCTCTTGCCCTCCAACCAGAACACGGAGAAGAGTGACCGCCAGGTTGAGCACCTAGTCTTCATGCTGGAGCGCGTGATCGAACTTATGGGGCCAGACCAGGAAACTTTGGCACTTATCGTAAATTTCAATGAGACGAAGTCTGGGCAAAACGCGAGTTTGGGTCAAGCTAAGCAGACGCTCAACATTCTTCAAAACCACTACCCGGAGCGACTGGGACGGGCATTGGTGATTAACGGTAAGTGATTCTGCTGTTTTGATGGTCTACTCATCGGTCTGACTGCCTTGGGATCATAGTGCCGTTCGTCATTTGGGGCTTCTTCAAGTTAATCACCCCGTTTATCGACCCATTGACTCGGGAGAAATTGAAGTTCAACGAAGATCTTCGGCAGCATGTACCTGCCGGCCACCTAATGAAATCCGTAGGTGGTGATGTGGAATTCCGATATGATCATTCCATTTACTGGCCGGCTTTGAATCAGCTGGCTGATAAGAGGAGGAACGAGTACCGACAGCGCTGGATCCAGGGAGGCAAACGTATCGGAGAGTTTGAGCACTATCTCAAGACCGGTACCAGCCCCAGTGTGTCACAGTCCGAGGGCACCAACGGGGTTAGCGAGAAGTCGTGATTGGACTTCTTCAACCCTCCTATGGTCATCACTTATACGCCGTCCCTTCGGTGTTCTTCCTGTTTTTCTACACGATGGTCAAGCGTCTAATAATTGCTTAGCGTGTTGCTGGAAGTATCTGTGCAAGACTGAGCGTCATGGGTGTATATTTCCTTGACCTTCGGCCTCATCCATGATTAATGCGTGTTTGCTTCTTCTTCCCACTAGCCTTTCTTTTCCACACCTTGTTGATATTTTGGGGTTTTTCCTGCCTGCTTTCGGACTAATAGACGCTTATATTACATGCTCGTTAAGAGGTTATACTCTAGAAGGAGCGGAATGTATATAGAACTGCAGTTACCTCTCTATGAATGAGATACAATCGACTGTTGAGTCACGTGTCCTCGCGGGGCAATCAGTGGGATTTAGGTGAGTATCGCTTGAATGCTCATACTTTGTTTGATATAGTTGTGCTTCCCAATGATCACTGAGACCCCTGTGCTGCCTTAGTATCGCTAGAAAGTGGTCTGGAGTATACCTTCGTATCATTCACAACTCCACAACCCGGATAATACAACACTGTCTTCTCCATCTCTGGGCAACGGTTAAATAGTAGTAACAAGCCAGTCTCCAGATGTACTCCATAATGCCTTCTGTAGTCTAACCAGTTTAGCAAATGGACCTGCCGATCCAACAGCCAACAGCATACCCTTGTTTATCTAGATCTATTATATTTGCTCTGTTCCCAGTCTCAGATCAGATCTCTGTAGGGGGCGGGGGTGTATCGAGATCACTTCAATTCGACTTATCTACCTGTCAGCGCGCGAATCATATCTAGATCTAGACTGCAGCACTTCCATCTTGAGAACATAAAGCGGCAAGGGCGGCAGACCGCTGTATCCCCGGTCAAGGACAGGCTACCTAAGCTGCAGCAGAGAAAAAGAAGCAAACAAAATCCAGTGATCCTCATTCGCATCCACAGCCATCCTAAGGCGTCCTAGTTGACCACAACTCCCATCCCCCTCATGCGGCTCTCCTTGCAATAGACCCAGGCAGTCCATCCCACTTATTATCATTTAGAGGGGTATTCTTATTATTGCTGTTATTATTATTATTATTATTCTGATGACGATGGCGGAACATGCCTCTCAGTGGATAATGCAGCAGCCCCCCACAGGCAGAAACAACTTGCCGCCCGAACCCACCACCGCAACCGCAACGGCCAACGACACTCCGACTCCCACTGCCGCGCATGCTACCATCTCCGCCAGCACTACCACCACAACGACCACCACCACCACCAACAACACCATTACTTTCTCGACGCCTGATCTTAATATCGTCCACGGTCACGAGGGCCCTTTTGTGCAGCCCTCATCCTACCTTCGCCCGCGAGGTCTCTCACATCCAATGCGCCCATCTGAGCCCGAGAGGGCAATTGATCGGGAAGAGCGTGAGGGTCTAGTGAGTCTACCCCTCTTTTTGCTTTTTTTCCTTGCTCTTCTTGGTCATCTTGTGTTGTTTGCAACTATTCATTTTTTTTTATTGCAATCTCTTCCTTGCAGGTGCTTGAATTACTAGATCACCCCACGTGCGCTATGTATTACTGGTTGGGTCTCTATATCATGGCGGGATCTTCGAGAATTAGAGCTCTTCATGCAGCACAGTTTCCCATTGCATTTGTCTCCGCGAGGATGGCCTTATGCAATTTGGCTAACGGTTCCCTTGCTTGGATATGGTGTAGCGTGCCATCCGTAACTTCCTCAAAGTCCGCACCAGCTACGACGTTCTTCCTCTCAGTTTCCGGCTCATCATATTTGATACGTCCCTCTCCGTCAAGGAGAGTTTGAATATCCTGATTCAAAATGGCATGTATACATTCTTCTTGCTTGCAGGGATGGTCCCTCGGAATGTCCCGAAAATACTCTCCGAAGGCCGCAACTATCCCAATATTTCTACGGTCCAGATTGGAACACAATAAGCTGACTGGGTTGAATGTGCGCGGTGTGACCTACAGGCATCGTATCAGCTCCGTTATGGGATTCAAAGACCTCGACCTTTGCCGGTCTTCTGACCACTTCCGACTACATCAACGTCATACAGTATTATTTTCAGAATCCCGCGGCACTGGACCAGATTGACCAATTTCGACTGGACAGTCTTCGAGGTGCGTGCCTGATGTCTCGATACTTGTGAATTGACTCTGTGCTACCTGAAACTGAACAAATGTTACAGAGGTGGAAAAGGCTCTCGGTGTTGCTCCGCCAGAAACTATTTCGATCGACCCAGAACGGCCGCTTTACGAGGCCTGTCGACGCATGCTCGAATCTCGCGCTCGCAGAATCCCTCTCGTTACAAATGATAGCCAAACGGACCGGCCTCATGTTCTTAGCGTGGTGACTCAGTACCGGATACTCAAGTTCGTGGCGGTCAATGTTAGTGACACACAAAAGTTAAAGAAGCCGCTCAAGGAAATTCTGTTGGGCACCTATGATAATATCGCCACGGCGTCAATGGATACACCAGTAATTGATGTCATCCACATACTCGTGGAGCGGAGTATATCTAGCGTGCCCATCCTGAACTCGGAAGGTGAGTTCGGACTCTCGTATCGCAGGTCAACTCCAGTGTCCGGCTAACCGAAACTCCCAGGTGTTGTCTACAATGTCTTTGAAGCGGTAGATGTTATCACACTGATCAAGGGAGGCGTATATGACGACCTCAGTCTCACGGTCGGCGAAGCCTTGAAGAAACGAAGTGCGGTACGTTCTTCTGTATTCTACAGCCTTCCCCGGATCCACTGCTGACAGTCGCAGGAATTTCCCGGTATTTACACATGTTCTCTAAACGACGGTCTGGACACCATTTTCGATACTATTCGCAAATCTCGCGTGCACCGCCTGGTTGTGGTGGATGGAGATTTCCGACTCAAGGGTGTTCTCACTCTGAGTGATATCCTACAATATATTCTCCTCGAGGGCGAAAATGACGAATCATCATGATATGAAAGAGATTTCCTGCGCACAAGCGGTCCGGGTATATCTAAAATTTGCATGGAAACGGCGTTGACTCACTTCTACTTCGGATCGATTTTGAGGCTTGCAACATCAGGTTTGGCTGGTAACAAAGGGCTACGCCGCATATTCATTGCTCCCCTGTCAGGCATTTTTCTTCCTTTCATTGCTTCTATTCTTGTCTTGTCCTTATATGAGGATGCCACGATGTAAAACGCACGCACGAAAGGTAATGGGATGGTTGTCCTTGGCTCCATCTGCGCTGTATTCAAGGCGCTTGGCTCGACAACAATAGATTTCATTTTGATGATACATCTCTATTTTCCAACAATTCATGTTTTCTCTTCGTCTCTGTCATTCCTTTTGTTTTTCTGTTCACCCGCAAGACATGGAGGAGACCTAGACCGGAGGTAACTGTCCGATGCCGTTGACACATCCCTCGGAAAGAAGGAACGAAGAACAGCAAATTGATCACGCTGCCTGCCTTCTGTCAACAAAATCTCCCACAACTCGGGGAAGCGCACAGTGACCACACCATTATGCTGACGGTCAAAGGAGGGCCGGGATAATTTCTCGTCTACGTGAGATTATACCACACTTCATATCCTTCAATGCTAGACGAACGACTCCTTCTCATGTGAGAATGGGACTCTTCAATACTTTCTTTAGAGCCTCAGAGCAAGCCAATGAGAAAACTTTAGAGGGCAGGCAGTCGTGGACCTGGGTACACCGCACACGAGCGGGTGCTGTCACACAGGCTGCTCACCGAACAAATCCGTCTTTAAAACAAGCCTCGAATGAACAAGGTACAATCAGAACAGGCACAGCCGACGATGGCCACTACTCCAAGGAGCATCATGTCAATGAGCCTGAATCTAACCCCACATCAGCTGGGAGTCTCGAACAGGCACTTACTTCTGGTGACTCTGACCCTTCCTCGAACTATTCATGTCTTAAAACAGACTCGCAACAAGCATTCACAGAATCACAGCATCCAGTGGCAGGCTCGAAAGGATTTGCAGGCTTCATGACGTCCCTTCGTTCCCGCAAGCCTCGGCACCGGAAATCGCTAATGCGACTTGGGGGGCGGTCTCAACATAATGACTGTACCCTTCACGGCGCAAGAACGAATTGTATATGCATTAGCTCCAGGGAAAACTCAGCTATAGACAAGGATGCAGATGAACACCAGGAGTCCCGCAAAGCCAGTGACAAGACTCTCGAGTCTGTCAATTCCAACCTCACAGCCGAGACTGTCTTTCGCCACCCTTCCCGAAACACGTCCAATCCGATCCCCCTTATCGAACGGGAACATGTATACGACAATCATTTCGATGAAGTAGAGGAATCGCCCCAGTTAGTAGCTGTTTCCAACCCATTCACAGACCGATTCAAAGCTGCCTCTCGATCCAGCAGGGACTCCAGCTCAATCTATAGTCTTACCGATTCTCAGAAGCCGCAGAACCTCCATGTCTACAAAAGGTCAAGAAGGCCTGTCATCTGCACCGACCTGGATATCATGGGAAGCTTGTCACGGGAGAGTTCTCTTCCCTTGTCGTGCTTGGATGATGGCAATTGGTCAGACATTTTCGATCGGCGCAAAGCTACCATAGCGTTTAACGATCTAGCTATCAAACTGAGTCTGAAACCTTTGCCCTTGAGCAATCCTAAACGTCAAGGGGGCGGCGATTGCTCTCATGCTCATCCCACTTCAGGTAAGTTGAGTGTCTCCCCATTGACGGCATTTAAGGAGGGATTGCTGACGAAAATGTTTGTCCCGGATATCAGTCTCGCGGCCGTGCGACTTTGCGAGGGAACTGCCTCGACGGCGAGATAGGATTATTCGTCGGATCAGAAGTGTGCGATCGACCTTCCATCTCAAGGCCCAGAGTATGCCACAGGAGCGAAAGTTGCGTCGAATGAAAACGTTCGCCAACCTCTCTTACTATTCTTATCGGATGGATTCGCTAGCTGGAAAGTCTTTGGAAACTCTAGCTCGCCTTGGGGGTCACAGCTTCTTGGCCTATCCCGGAGACTTTGCACCGACGGCGCTTAAATTACCGGTCTGCTTTGTGGCGACGGCGACCTATCTGAGATGTCGTGGTATGCATCCCGTGCATCCCAGAGACGAAGTATCTGCTTACTAAGGCGAGCTGCAGGTCCACTTGTCCAAGACTTGTTCTTCGATCCGGGTGATTTGGTCGCGGCTGCACAGATATATGGTTACTTCGCCAGCCAGGTGCTATCCACTGAGAGGGAGCAGGACAAGATTCAGATTACGATGGGCAGTGGCGAGATGCCGTCCGAATTGATGAGCATCCTGAGTTCAATCCAGTCGCAACGACATTCGACTCACATCCTCAGCGTCGGGTGGGTGTTCAAGTGCCTGCTTGCTGGGCTTCCTGGCGGCATTTTGGGATCTACGCACCTGTACAACGCCCTGTTGGATATCTACATCAAGACTCCTTCCTTGGAGGACAAGCTCAACAGTCCTAACCAAAAGCTCAAACGGACGCGTAGCTGTCTCGGAGGGCTAACTCAAGCAAGGTACACAAGGATCAAAGCGATTGGCCTCGCCATTCTAGCCTTGGCGGGTCCCATGCAACTTGAGCTGATGTGCGCTGTTTTCGGGTTATGTGCCTTTTACGTGCATGAAACAAGACGAATTGTGGAGTATGAGCGGCATGGGTACAAGACTGGTGTTGGAAAACTTGAATTCGTAACGCGTTCCCAGATATTGGAAGGGCTCGGCCAGGTCTTTGGGCCCCTGCTGACGGATCGAGGGCCAGAAGAAGGTGCTTATGATCTGGAGACCCTGCGCATACTTGAGATGAATCGCACGTATGTGGCGATGATGCTGATTGCGAACTGGCGAGCGGTGAGTCGCCAATTGCGGGTTTGGGAAGATCAAGTGCACGTGCCCCAGCGACTTACCATATCTTGGTCGTCTGAGGGTTCGGAATAGCTTGGATGGAGCAGATGATGGATCATTAATCCGTGCTTGGTTCAACGGGCCGGCATGTGGGCACGGACGATTCTTTGAGTGTGTACGCAGTGCTCTGGGACTTTGTAGAATGATTGTTGATATGACCTGGTGGTGCTTGGTATTTTAGTCAGGCTGAGCCGCGGTGGAGCCTAACCAGACGATCCTTGTGGGCATCCTGGTCGGGATTCGTGTACAATAGCTGAATTGGTTGGTAGACGAGAGGGAATGCGGGGGAAAAGACAATCTCCAGCAGTACCTTTTATCATCATGATGACACAAGCGGCTTGCTTGGTCTTCTACCCCTGACGGAAGTACGACTGTATTATGGGACAAGGATGGCAGTCTGACCATATAATTGGTGGGTAGTTAGGCGAGTACCCTATAAGATAGATCGCCGTGGTCACAGCTGTTGGCAGTGTTTCATCTTTATATCCAGGTAGTGGGTAGTTCAGTAGACCCTTTGAAGTTCGTTCCAACAGGTCCCGGATCAAGCGTTCGAAAGGATATATCTCAACCACTATCCACTATCTAAAAGTCCGACCATACTTTACGTTCACAAGTTTCTACTCCAGAGTTCTGAGCAAGTCTACTCCGTATATGAATGTACGTATATATGTCTGAGTACATGAGATGAGTACAATAAGAATAGGATACGTACTTGGTTGGCTAGGATAAGAAACCCCCCCAAGATCAGATCCGGTTTCTCGAAGTTGGAATTGGAATTGAGTTAGCTAGAGGGGTGGGAGGGATGAAACGGCTAGTGGGAGCGTGTTACTGCGTTTGCCGTTTGCCGTTTGCCTCTCCTGGGCATTAGACAAAGGACAAGCGATCCGAAGGGTGGAGCAGACGCCGATCCCTGAACGATGAGTTGTCGGGTTTTTGGACCGGCAGATTGATTGTAGTCTACTTCCGCTCCTCTACCACTGGAAGCAGGTACCTACAGCAGACGGGACTCTTTCCGGGAGGCGGGCCACTAGAGCTATGTATGGAGTACATTGGAAGATGGTCTCGATGAAGTTGATGATCCCTTGAATGCAGGGTAAACCTGATTCTGGAGTCGATGAGGGCTCTGGGTTCTGGGTTCTGGGTTCTGGGCTCGCTGGGTGAGACAGACGCGTGTCTCGAGTGTCCCTTGTAGAATACTTGTTGATTTATCTGATAATTGAGGAGATATTGTAGTGTTCTGTTCGCTGGACCACCTTTACATGGGAGTCGAGGTCGAGTTGAGTGGAGCGGATGCTGGAGGTGACGTGATCATTAACATCATACCTTGGGCTGAACCTGAACGTCGATCCATGAATGTGCTGGACTGTAAGGTATCTATCTAATTCCTTTCTTACTTCGGATGTTGGTCGAATCCATGGTTATAAGGGTGAGTGGCAGGTTGACAGCAAGACTGCCGTGGTTGAGAGTGTGTATGTGTACGTGTACCTCAAGTGTTGAACTTATGAGCATCTGGCACCTGTGGTCTTGAATTCCTGATTTGTTAGCTATGCAGAGGATAGGTGGCGATTATTAAATGTTGGAGAGCTGTCATATCTCATATTACATTAAATATGCACGTGCTGATGCAAGGGAGGAAGGCTGGAAGTGTCAACTACTATTGAGTGTCTGGCATGTCTGCTGCGAGTAAGAGCCTAAGAAGGCCTTGCGGATATGCAGTACCTTAATCAGGGCCACCTAACCTGGTACGGATGACGGACAACCATCAGAGAAATATCAAGTGGCGAATCAGCAGACAGAAGCGCTGAGTCAGCCTGTCAATGACGTCACTATGTTCCAGCTATGGTGGGGTTGGTGTCCGGAACAAAATTCAGCCCAATCAGAGAGGACCATCAAAGCGCCCCTGCCTGTTTAGGAAAGTACCTCTCATCTATCCTAGCTGGTTGTGGAAGTACCACAGGGTGTCGAGCGTAAGCAAAGTACGGAGTACGTTAGTTACTTTTTCTACGGATAGATACATAGTACCAAGTACCTTTGCTCTTGCATCAGGGCCTCAGGCCTCAGGCCTCTGCCCTGCCCTTGATCCCCCTGCCTAAAGGAGGTAGGGAAACAAGGAAAAACGGTGGCCTAATAGTCTATCAACTCTTATGGTTCTCCAGTCAGTAAATGTTGCTCTTGCTCCCTCCGCGTGTCCCAGCCAATGATGATCCCTACCGGCATCTTCAACTCTTCAACCTCCGTCAATTCCATCAGATTGTCCGTAGCTAACGAGTTCATCCCCTCCCATCTGCGTAAGTCCAGCCGGTTCTGATTCTGGATTGTGGGTTCTCACAGGTCGAGATCTTCGTCCACCAACAGGACTGGGTAGATGTCGCCATTAATCTCATCATGGAGGGTTTCAAGTAGATAGAATAACGCTATCGCAGGTCTATTTCCTCATTGGGGTTATATAAGTTTGGATTCTGGTGTCTTATAACCACAACCTTTTCTGATGGGGTACCACGTTACTACTCCCTATTAAAGAGACAGAAACAGGGAACATATATCAAACAGAATAAGTGCGCTGTTTATCTGACCAGCCAGCAAGCAATTGATTCTCTTACTTCCACATTGGCAGTGGCAGTTGCAATCGCAAACAATTGCAGTCTCAACCTCAATGATTGTCCTGTCTATCCGCTGTACATGGAAGTGATTTGTGTCCTGGTTTCCTCAAAACTTGTTCTTCCTTTCTCTCTTTCATCATCAACTCTTCCCTTGAACTGATCTCCTCCTCTTCTTCAGCGTTGTTCCCTCTTGTCTAGCCACTCATACACTCCCCACTTTGTTTCTCCTTCCATGCTTTTTGCGCTCCCTGGTTGCAACAACTCGGATCTGACCACACACCACTCCATTTCCTCCCACTCAATTCTCGTTCTCTGGGGTTCTTCACGGATTCTAGACTCATCTTCGCTAAATTCCCTTTTTCGTCTCCTCCCTCGCCGACGCGGTTTTATTCTCCTGTCCCTGCTTATTCGCCTTGTTCTCCTGCCTTCCTTCTCTTGGATAAGCTATCCACGTCCGCCTCTACTACCAACTACGGTTCACTTTTTCGCTCTCCCTCTCTCCTCCCTCTGCAGCTACCTTGTCCCTTGCCTCTAAACATACAAAGTCTCAAGCAAAATCCTTCCCGCTGCCCCTCCCGCCCTGATTGTTTGGCCGGATCAAAGCTGTCACTTCTCGGCCCGCCACTTACACTCCCACCCTATCAATCAATCAATCCACGACTGCTATAGATATCTAACTCTCTCGTCGTCATCATCGTTGTCGTCTTTTTCTTGTTTTCCTCTTCTTTCTGTCTGGCTCCTTTAATATTATTTTTGACAGCTTTCTCTCTCATCCATACCTAATTCAAATACCATCGTCTGTGGCGTACTCTTCAGCTCGAACCCCCTTGTACAACGCATCGTGCAACCGTCGCTCCCGATGTCCACTCTCAATATGTTACCGGAGCAATCCGCCCTTGGCCGGTCTGCAATGCCTGGTCCCGATGCTGTCAATCCTGGCCCCTCTCCGTTTGCTCCTCCTAATTCCTTCTCTGGTGACTTTCTTGGACTCTCGCTCCCTGACGAAGAGCATCTCTGGGGTATGAGTCCTATCTCTTCCTCCATGCCCTCGTGGAACGGAAAGAACGAACAGATGTTCTCCAATCCTAACCTTGAACGCGACCTCAAGCACTCCCATGTCCGCAATGGCCAGCCTACTCCACCTCCATACGGGGACAACAAGACTCACACGATCGGTGATCTATACTCGCTGTCTCAGTGCCAATTCTCCAACGGAACACAAAATTTCCAGAACCATAATGATCGTAGAAGCTTCTGTGAGCAGTCGGCCATAAATAGCAACGGCGGCAGCTCCAAACGTCGCAAGGTTCGCGACTCCAAGATGACCCAGGCCGAATACGACGAACAGCAGCAGGAGAAGGCGAAGCGGGAGAAGTTCCTGGAACGCAACCGATTGGCCGCCAGCAAATGCCGGCAGAAGAAGAAAGAGCATACACAGCTTCTTGAGTCGCGATATAGGGAGCAGTCTGACAAGAAGGAGCAATTGGTGTCTGAGATTGCACGCCTGCGCTCGGAGATTCTTGGCCTGAAGAACGAAGTCCTGAAGCACGCTCAATGCGGAGATGAGCCGATCAAGCTTCATCTGGCACAGATGGTGAAGAAGATTACCTATAATGACACAACGGCCCCGGAGTTGACCGACGTGCCGGATGCAGCATCCTCTTCAGAAGGGCCGATGACCCCACAACCTCAGCAGGCGCTCTCCTTTGGCTTTGATGATCCGCTGCACCTGGGACCATCCCGTGCTGGCGAGTCCATGGACCAGTCCGTCCGTCGGGACTCGGAGGCTTCGGTCCTGACGGAGAACTCTTATGCCTTTTCGACCGATGACAGCTTTGACGATTTGATCAACGTTTGAGCCTTTTCAACCCCTGATGTGACAATGAACTCGTGCTTTGGCTTTGATGACTATTACTACGACGACAATCCATACTGGCGCCTGGTTGGGAAAAGTATGGAAACAAGGGTCTGCGGATTAGCCTGCTTGCTATTTCACCTTATGGTGAAGGAACCTGATTGATTATTCGGAGTTTAATGAGGATGCTCGGCGGTATCATTCTTACAATGGTTTATGGATGGTTTGTGCTTTGCTTTGCTTTTGGTTTGATGCTGGCTTGCTCAAGGGAGGTTCCTCTGCGACTGGGTACCGGGAGTACTCATGACGATAGTAATCCATGAATGATAGATGTACACTAGGCGAATCAAGCCTGCTTAATGCTATTCAATAGTGGTGGCAGTAGAGATTTAGTAGCGACAAGAGTTTTCAGCTGCTCAACCAGTAATGACAATGCAATATCCAGATTCACTGTCTCGTCTAAGCTATATACTATCTAGATCACGAAGAAGCACTTCCAGCCTCCACATGCAATATACTGCCATCCTTGCCATTATCACCATCACCACCACGACCAGCCTCACAACCACCCTCACTTCCCCGAGAAGACAAAAGAGGGGAACTCCCCTCAAACAAAGCACTAATCTCCTCCAACGACTTCCCCCTCGTCTCCAGCACAAACCCCCACACAAACCCCACAATCAGCAGATCCAACCCCCCAAACAAGAGGAACGTAGCCCACTTAATCTTCGCCAGGATAAACGGCGTGCTAAACGACCACACGAAATTGAACATCCATTGCGCGCCGACACCCACCGCTACACCGGGCTCGCGGATGCGCGTGGGGAAGAGCTCAGACACGCAGGGCCAGGGCAATGGGCCCCAGGAGAGATTGTAGGCGGTGATGTCGAGGTAGATTAGGGCGATGGTTGCGATTGCTGCTGGCGTGAGGGCGGTGCTTCCTTGTGAGGATGATGAGGCAGGTGCCGGGGGATAGGATTTGAGGACGGCGGCGGTGGCGAGCATGCAGGCGGACATGGCTGCTGCGCCGGAGAGGAGGAGCGGGCGGCGGCCGAAGCGGTCGGAGAGGAAGAGGAGGAAGAGAAGACAGGAGAGTACTTTTATGGCGCCGAAGATGCCTGTTAGGAGGAGGGGAGAGTTGCTATCGGCGGGTCCGACGAGGAGGGAGAAGAACTGCGGGGCGAAGTAGGCGAGGGCGGTGGCGCCTGTGGATTGTTGGGCGAGGAAGAGGCTGAAGGCTAGGAGGAGGCGGCGGGCGTTGGGGCCGGCGAGGAGTTCGCGGGGGTGGAAGTTGGCTGTTGCGGTGCGCTCTTGCTCGAGGCCGAGGCGCATGTGGGAGAATTCGGCGGAGAGGGCGGGGGAGTTAGGATTCGAAGCGCGGATCCAGAGCAGGCTGGAGTGGGCGCGGACGGGGTCGCCCTTGGCGAGGAGCCAGCGGACGCTCTCCGGGAGGGTGCTGGTGCCGAGGCCCATAAGGGCGCCGGGGACGAGCTGCAGGGCGATGGGGATCTGCCATTGGGCTGGGGAGGGGGGCATGAACTTGACGGCGTAGTCGATCCAGTACGAGACGAGGATGCCGATGGTGTAGGTGAATTGGTAGCAGCTGCCGAGGCTGGCGCGCGACTCCTTGGGGCTCATCTCAGCCATGTAGATGGGGATGACGGTGGCGGAGCCACCGATCCCCAGGCCACAGATCACCCGGCCGGCGTAAAACAGGGCCAGCGAGTGCGAGTTTATGACCTCGAGGATGACCCCCGCGCAGAAGACGGCGGAACATGCCATCATGGCGAGACGGCGGCCCCAGCGGTTCGTCACGGGCCAGACGGCGAAGCAGCCTACCAGGGCGCCGGCCTGCTGGATGCCGACGGCGATGGAGCTCACGCGGGTCTTGTCTGTGGGACTGCATCGAAAGTCGCGCGCAAATGACTCAAAGGTGAGCACCCCTCCTGTAGATCATCAGTCTCGCGGTTCGAATATAACAGGGGTAATGACTGAGGACTGACCGATCACCCCGGAGTCATACCCAAACAACGCACCACCACAGCAAAGCACATCTGCCAGCCAGAACAGCCGTAACCCGGCAAGACGAGAATCCGTCTGCTCGGTGGAGTCGGGAGGAACAAGATCAAGATCGTCAGGATCAAGTTGAGGGACCTGGGTGTACGGCCTCATTTTGTGCAAGTGTCAACAAGACATCTAGCGACATTTGGTTCTCCCGGTAAGAACGCGGGCAAGAGATCAACAACGTGGTGACACCCGATCAGATAGATCCAGAGGATCACTCATCCAAAGAACCAAGCAATGTAATGATGGCATTGTGAGTGTTCTGTTGACGCTGAGATTGATCAACATACCGCTGTTTGATTATGTCAGGGGCATGACGTATCTGTTAGCCGACTGCCGACTGCGCAACAGAGTGGAGAGATCACGCCATGATGGACTGTCAAAAATGCAGTTTGTAGAGAAAGAAAGGATACAAAGCACAAGGACGATGCCATATTGCAGCTGCGAGGACGCTGTATGGACAATCTAAGGCCTCAGGGATTACCAAATCCGGACACCCCGCAGTCCCCTCTCTGACCATAACGACAAAACCCCACTCAAAGGATTGTCCCATGAAGTTTGGATGATTAATTATATGAATTGTGTCAAATGAGCCAATAATATAGAGACCTTCGAACGCAAATGTCCAGGTACAGTCCTGAAGTGGCTATACAGCCGACAGCCGATGGCCGGTGGTCGTCAGATGAAAGACGATCGTCCGGCAAGTAGTCCTACTGGACTGGCTTGGATTATCAAGTCAACTAAATGCCCAATTCAATTGGTGTACAAGATACAGCAACAGCAACCATCACTAGTGGCTGAGATGATACATAATGGCCGCGTTACTCTCCCCTCATCGCCCCTCCTCCCTTCCGATCTCCCTGCCTCATTCTCGGCATCATCTTGTTGCTCTATCATGGATAAACGTCCCAATTTCCTCGTCATCGTCGCCGATGACTTGGGCTTCTCCGATGTAGGCTGCTTTGGAGGAGAAATCCGCACACCAAATATCGATCGTCTTGCTCTCAATGGAGGCGTACGTTTCACAGACTTTCATGCTGCGGCTGCTTGTTCGTGAGTGTCTTTCTCTAGCATTTCAGCGCCCTCTTGACCAGGAGTAACCGCGATAGTCCCACCCGCGCCATGATCATGACCGGGACAGACCACCACATCGCAGGTCTCGGAAACCTGATCGAATGGACCAACATCTCCGGGCAGAACGGACCCAAGGGCTCCCAGATGAGCACCGCACCGCAGCGCGGCATGCCCGGTTACGAGGGATACTTGAACGAGCGCGTCGTCGCGCTGCCCGAGTTGCTGCGGGATGCGGGCTACCACACCGTCATGTCTGGGAAATGGCACCTGGGGCTTACGCCTGAGCGATCGCCGTACAAGCGAGGTTTCGAGCGCTCGTTTGCCCATCTGCCTGCGTGCTCGAACCACTATGCCTACGAGCCGCAGCTCCAGGGGGCCGATGACACGCCTACATTCCTTGAAGCGAGCTACATCGCCCTCCACATGGAAGATGACCACTATGTGAAGCGGTTGCCGGAGGGGTGGTATTCGTCCGATGGATACGGCGATAAGATGCTTCAGTATCTCTCCGACTGGCACGAGAGAAAGGATGAGCGCCCCTTCTTCGCCTACCTACCCTTCACGGCCCCGCATTGGCCGCTCCAGGCGCCCCGCGAGTACATCGACCACTACCGCGGCGTCTACGACGACGGACCCGATGCGTTGCGACTGAAGCGACTGCAGCGGCTCAAGGAGCTGGGGATGATCCGTCCGGACGTGGAGCCGCACCCTGTCGTCGCGGACGAGGTCAAAGAATGGGCCGACTACACCCCGGAGGAGAAGAAGAAGTCCTGCACCGCCATGGAGGTCTACGCCGGCATGGTGGAGTGCATTGACGCCAACGTCGGCAAGGTCGTCGACTACCTGGCCTCCATCGGCGAGATGGACAACACCTTTGTCTGCTTCATGTCCGACAACGGCGCCGAGGGCGCCGCCTACGAGGCCTACCCCATGGTCCAGAGCGGCGTCATGCCCCATCTCCAGAAATACTACGACAACAGCCTCGAGAATCTAGGCAATGCCAACTCGTTCATCTGGTACGGGCCGCGCTGGGCGCAGGCCGCCACCGCCCCGTCCCGTCTGTACAAAGCCTACACAACTGAAGGCGGCGTCCGCGTCCCCTTCCTGGCCAAGTTCCCCAGCAGCGTGGCCGCGGCGCGGAGTGGAATTACAGACCAGTTTGCCACGGTCATGGATCTCGCACCGACTATCCTCGATATGGCGGGAGTCAAGCATCCGGCTCCCACGTACCAAGGCCGTGAAGTGGTCCCCATGCGCGGCAAGAGCTTCTACCCGTGGGTGCGTGGCGAGTCGGGACGGATTCACGAGAAGGACTTCGTCCAAGGATGGGAGACCTGCGGCCGTGCGGCGCTTCGGTTCGGTGACTGGAAGATCGTATATATTCCGAAGCCCAAAGGTCCCGAGCGATGGCAGCTGTACAATCTGGCCGATGATCCGGGCGAGGTGCATGACCTGGCGGATGTTCATCCCGAGCGGTTGAGGCAGTTGCTGAAACTGTGGGATCAGTACGTGATTGAGACGGGTGTGATTCCTCTGAATCCGGATCTGGGTGACTTTCTCGAGGCCACCGAGGCGCAGATGCCGGAGAACGCCTGGATGGAGTATGATTACTGGAAGAAGGGGGCTCGCGATGAGCCTGACAAGTTCATGCGGAAGCCACAGCGGTTCCAGAGAGTGGTCAAGCAGTTTTAGTTTTGTGACTAATTCCCTCGCTGTATGATAGTTTTACCATGCGGTCAATACGAACGCTCGTCTGCAGCAATCTCCATGTAGCTTGCCCGCAAGTAATGGTTCGCTAACTGCCAAACATACCTTCAAAGGTCCTTCTTGGCGCATATCATTATAGCTATATTAGAACGTAAAAATCAGTAAAGAGTTCGCGCCTCACGCATCGCGAATCCGCCCATGTTCGAGACGCATCCTGTCTCCGCGTCATCTCCTCCAGAAGGAACAGCACTTTGTTCGCATTGGGATGCCGCTGCGTCACATCGCTGTCACAGGCCACCATGCGCTGCATCTCCTGCACGATCCACCGCCGCTGAGTCAACGTACCTTCCAGGCCCGCTATAAAAAGCGGCCAGAAGAAGCTGACCGGCAGGTGTTGCTGCGTACTTGCCGATTCAGCTGTTGCCAGCTGGATGATTTGGTCCACAGCGCGGTTGACTCGGTCAGTCCGCGGATAAATAGCAAATGCTACCCGGTGCAGATAGATAAAAATCGCCAGGAAGTTAGCCACATACTGCCGGAATGTGCGACATACCTCGTCCGCGACCGACTGACTTAAGGAGTCAAGCAGCTCTTCAGGTCGGTCGTAGACGTCAAGCACTGGTGGGCGGCAGTTCCATAGTGTCTCCAAGTCAGCGCCCACTCTGTGAGCAATCTGCAGAACCTCAAATTCATCACCCAGCGTCCCGCGACTGCGATGATGCAAGTCAATGCACACGATGCGCCGGATGATTTGCTGGGCTTGAACGAAGAAGCGAAACGCGGGCCCCACAATGGCATCGTAGATAAGATATCCTGGTTTCGAGAGAAGGTAATCGTCTGTCACTTTCTTGTCTACTGGACGATCGTCCATAATACTACTGCTGAAGGACGATTGTCCGCTAACGGCACTGCTCGATTCGTTTTGCGCAGTCGAGAGCTCAGCCAGGCTGCCGAGTTCTATTAGAGGATCTCCATCTCGGCCGGCAATCAGCGATTTCACATCCAGAAGAGAGACCCACGAGACCACCAGGCGGCCAAAGCCAGCCCATGACTGAATCTGGTCGTGAAAGCGCTGCAGTAACAGGTATGCTGAGTGGAGAAAAGAATTACCATGGCGGCCCAGCTCTGGGGACGATAGCGACTGTACAGTGTTTAGTCAATCTTTGACTGTAAACTTGGACATGCCTTACATACTTCAGATAACATGAGCAGAAAGACAGTGGTAAAGACCTTTACCAACGTTGGCTCATCCACTTGCCCAAATATGTATGACTGCCCTTCCAAACTTGCCTGCTGGTGGTACGTCGACGCCGAATTAGGCTGACCCCCCTCCTTGATGGCCTTATGCACCTCTGCGAAACAGTAGATGCTATTCCGCAAGGGTCGAAAGTCGCGCGATTGCGCTACGATAACCTCACGCACATATTTCCATTCCAGGTTCACTGGTCCGAATATCGTCGCGGGCGGCTCGGAGCTGAGGAAATATGCCAGCAGATGCTCCTCATACGCGGCTCCGGTCTCCGGCCACATACCCTCCGTAGCGGGAGACTGTGATTGCGTTCCCTTTGAATAAACACTCGAGTCCCAGCTCATCGATCGATCAGTATGCGGTACATTTGCAGTGTCGTCCGACGCCTTGTAAGACGTTACATTAGTAAATTCAGATAGCCCGTTGGTCAAATCGAGGTGCTTGCGCTCCAGCTCGGACGTAATCTCGCTCATGAAACCAAGCATATCAAATGGTCCGGGTGACGTCGCCGCATTATCCACAGATCGCAATTGTGAAGCATCAGCTGCTTGCGGCGGCCGATAGGCCTGCTGCCCATCTGGTCGTAGCACCGTACTGAAATAGCTCGCATCTGGTCTCTGGAAGGTGTTTGCGGTCGGATTCCCCGTCACGGCAGCTGTGTGACCATTAGCCTGTCGCGGGACGGCTGCAGGCACAATCGTCTTGTAAACACAACCCAGCCGGAGCCGGGTACAGTTGGCACAGATTGGTTTCGCTTCATCGCACCGAACCTTTCGCGCTCGACATGTCAGGCACCCGGATCTTCTTCGAGGACCCGACCTGCCTAATCCCCGTGCTCTGGGAGGAGCCTGGATGCAGTCAGAAGAGCTGATACCTCTACAAGCAAAGAACGGTCGCCAGAATATGAACGACGGTTAGACAGGTGGTTTTACCTCCATAATAAGTCGGCTGCCCCTGCTCAACAGGCATGGCGCGCAGTTGGTTTGGGCAACGCGCAGTTGCAGCTGCGAGCGAGACAGATAAACAAGCAGTGAATTTCCCCGCAGTTCGGGGCGTGCCCGCTCTCCACCATCACGAGTCAGAGGATGGCCTCACACGGCAAACTTGAGAATAACAGTTCCCTTGTCTGGGACCGACGCCTGTAAAAAAAAAAGAAATTGCATTTATATACCCTATATCATGGTGCTTTCATTGTTGCTGATGAGTTAACATACATAGGCTATTTCGAGTAAGCGTCACAGCATGCACATATATACATCTTTCAGCCCTGTAGTACAGTCAAGCTCAGAATGTACAGCGGTGGTCATATCATTATACAAAAATTGGATGGATTATGTCATAAGCCTCCAGGAAGTGCCTGGTACGACCTTCGCATTTTATCACCACCCCAACACTTGGATATGTGCAGCAAATGTCCTCGCTCTTTTCTCACGTATGCCGCAAAGCATATGGCTGCCAGCACAATCGCCCCGTAACTGATAAAGACGGGATACTTGAATTGCTCAGGGAGAGGAAAGACTACTGTGGTTGCAAACGACAGCATCTCAAAGACGTTCTGCACGCCCATTTCGGTTGAGGAGAATCGCCCCCGGGCATCTTCTTCAACACCCTACATGATAGACATTAGCAACGTCTGGTAGCAGCCCTCAGGTGAGAAAGTGATTACCTCTTGGACGAGAAATTGAACCGACAAATCAAAACCCCAAAGGCCAATCCGACTCAAAGCAACTCCCAGGATGAGACTCACTGCTACCAGCCGAGAGTTCGAGTCGTATAAGGCAAAAGCCACTGCTGCAGTGGCCAAACAGCCAAGCTGCCAATTGAGGAACCACAGTCCCGACCTAATCGGTCCGATCCTGCCCATGATGAACGGTGCTGCCCATGTGCCAGACAATTCCGCGAGCACGGCGCCGATTCTCATACAGCTGACCTGCAGAGGATCGAATCCCGTGTGCAAGAGATATGTGACCATGGTGGTGCCAAAGGAGAGAACAGTTAAATAGAGCAGGCTCAAGGCGAAGGACGCCAGGAAGACTGGACTAGCCACGTACTCTCGCCAGGGCGAAGCAGCCCGTTTGACAAGGTGAATTGCACTTTTAATCATACTCTGTTGGTTCGCCGTGGGACGTTCGGGTGCATCCTCGACAGCTCCGCTCCCATCATCTGTCGGGACTGAAACTGTCCGCACGAGTTCCGGTATCGCCTTGTACACCTAACATAATACCTGGTCAGATCAAAGTGATGTAAAGGGCGAAAAAAGATGAACTCACCTGAGCAATGGCAATGTATTCAATAAAGACACAAAGAACATTCACTTCCAAGACCGTCCAGACCGCGACCTTTGTAGACAAGCCATCGACGAGCGAGATCACCACAGGGGCCACAAGCTTGCAGAATAGATCTATCCGTCTCATCGATGCATTCAGATCTATTACAGCGTCAGTAGAACGTAGAATAACATCAGTACATTAGACTATCTACCTTGCCTCCCGATTGCTAAAGTGTCTGCAACAATGATGACCTAACCCGACGTTAGAGTTTCCTTGCCCAGAAGTATTCACTGTTACGACTTACCCAGTCTCTTTCGACAGCCACAGTATTTGCTGTTGCTGCCAGTTTCTCCATGCAAGCGAGCAGAACAACCGCAAGAAATAAGCCCGAGACAATAGGCTCAGATTCTCGATATGAAGGCATCAGAAGGGCCACAAAGCATGCGCAGGACACTGCAACAGGTACTCTCTGCCAGACTAAGAAGTGTAAGCCGTCATGTAGCCATTCATTATTAACTTAGTGGTAGGATGTGGCAGGAGAAGCGACCTACCGATGGAGTGACGGGTGGCTACCAGACGGTTCGACCGATCCATCTTGGATCCTAACCAGGAAGATAGAACCACCGCCGACGCAGAACGTACCAACGCGTAGATCGAGGCGTACAACAGAGTCCCCTGAAAGATAGAAGCAAGGAACAAGACAGCGCCGAATTCAAACATGCGTGAGTTCCATGTCGACAAGAAGTGAGAGACATACAGTCTCATCAACACACTTCGGGAGGTTGCCGTCCGAGTTGCCCGTACGTTAGGGCGAGCTTCTCTTTCTAGAAGAGCTTCAGCTGCTTCCAGGAAGTCTTCCTGGTGACTATTCATATCTGGCTGCGATTCCATCACTGGCCCTGATTGCAGTGGATAGTAGCAAGTGTCCCAGCTCAGTATAATGCTAGGTATCCTCGCGGATGATGGCTATGGATCAAAAACCCTCAATCAGGATTATAGTTGGCCCATCGTTTGTCTAAGTGCATGTAAGGAAGCCATGAAATCAAAATAGTGAAGAACCATCTTCGAAGTTTGAAAGTTTGCCGGCGGACGCGAGAGAGAATCGGTAGCCTGACGATCATTGGTGAGTCGGAAGGGCCGCTGATTGAGAATTCCCCAAGTTCCCCAACGCTTCTCCGTAGATGATGATTATTCATCGGCAGCGTAAGTAAATACTTTTCTGGCTTCTTCATGGACGTGGTTTTCCCGTATCGGATGAAAAGTGGAGTGGGATGTATGTGGCTCGAACACTCATCTTTTTCGTCCTTTTACTCCTCGTCATTTCTCATGGTATGTCGCACCGGTATGCGGAATACCTACAGCGATCTTGTTCCTCTTCACTCACACTCAGACCCCAGTATAATTCTGCACTAAGGGCTGAACCTACGAATCATCAGCAAGTGACGAAGCCGGAAAGCTAGATTTGTATTTGTGCTTCCTAATCAGTAAACATTAGAGTACTGCTAGAATTTGTAATGCTACTTCAGGATAACCAGAAATACGTGGGAGCAATGCTCTGGCCAGCTTATCATGCTTAATATTCCGTTTGAGAACTAATCACCCCAGCTTTACTAATAATGGATTTCTCCTTAGATCCAGAGATATCAGTCCAATAGGTATGATGGTCCATTGCACCGTCCAGCTCACAAAACTACTTTACACCTCTTAACTTTTCAAAGATGCAAACCATTGAACGCCAGATCAGCCCCGTCATATGAGATGAACACAAAAGCCAGACGAGGAACTCAAAGAGGTGAAGAGATGCTATCGCCCCGAAAGAGAGCTAGGGTCGTACTCAGATTCGCCCGGTCCACCCTCCAAATCTGACCGGACAAAGAGAGCCTCGCAATCCATTGGAGAAAAAGGGTATCAATGTCAATCATGCGTCGTCCTGGTGTCCTTCTAGCGCGGACGAGGAAACATGCACCGGTGCAGGACCCCAGGCCAAATTGGTCGGGCACGTCACGTGAAATGCGGATACGTGATGACCATTCAGCTCAGCAGAACGAGGATAACAGAATCGCCTCGCAGGAACCTGGTAGGACAAGTTAGGAACTGCGACTCGTAGTAACATAGGAAGGTCTGCACTTACATCTTGCTGATGAAGCGATCCTTGTTCACGCCCCTTCCCTTTCCGCCCTTCGGCTTCTCCGTCCACATTTCTTTCACGTTCTCGAGCACCATATTGCAGTGGCGGTCAAACGCCTTGACTCGGGCAAGTAGCTTGCGGTTGTTCCGGCATGAGATCAGAACCTGAGTGTGGGTGCGAGTAGCGGTTTGGAGAAGAGACAGGGGGCCAGCTGTGAGCTCGTGTTCTTCTACCAAGGCGACCTCATATTCACTGGAGAAACGCAATGTCAGAGAGATGCGTAAGACATGGGATAGCACGGAACTGTAGATGTGCGAATTGGATGGACAGGATCAGGCATAGGGAAAGGTTGCATGGGCGACTGTCACACGACATATCCAAAGTGCGATGCATTCTAGCATAAGGTATGCGATGATGAGAAGGTGAAATATAGGATGCACATACGTGAGTTCGCTCTTGGGCTTGTTCAGCAAATCCCTGTTAGGATAGACAGTATGGTTAGCATGACGGAACAGATTGAGGTCGGAATCACACCATATTGAATTTCATCAATGACTCATGGTGAAGCCTTGGAGAGAAAAGAGGGGCAAGTACGTACTGAATCTTGGGATCGGTCGACATGGTGGCTGTATAAAAAGGCACTTGCTGGCTGCTCTGGTCCTCTCTTCTTGTCTCTCTTGCGCTCTCTCTGCCCTCAGCAGCTTCTTAGTCAAAGGCGGTCAAGCCCTGGTGTCGAGTCTTGGCGCGGGTTGGTCACGTGCGACGCGTCTCTGCCGTGTTTTGCAGGCATCCTTTCCCGAGGTCGCGATTGGCTGCGTCACGTCGCGTCGGCAGAAACACTCAACACGCTGTAGGCGATCGTCACAGCGTCTTGTGCGGACGCAAGGCGTGCTTGCTTTTCTCTCCCATATCTGGCTTTCTCCTCTCCAACCATCTCCCCAATTGCATCCTTACTTCCTTTTCTTGACGAGTCATATTGCTCTCAGTGGATGAAAAGGCTGTTCTCAGTTCACTCCTTCCCTCAATTCCTTCTTCACCGTGTCTTCACTCGATATAAGCTTCAAGGGAACCCCTACCTGCCTGTCCCACGTTGAACATTCCAATCGACTTCCCCCGCGTCCCCTATTGCATAATCATACATAGCTGCGCATTCTCCGGGTCGACGCAAAGCTTCGATCGAATCAAGACTGGCTATGAATAAACGAAAGTAGCGGGTTCGGCTCGAAATTCCTACCTTGCTTCGCGTCAAGCTCTCGCCTCTCCCTTGTTCCTCAGCGTTCGACACACCTGAACGAGTCGCTTGCGTCTTCTTCATAAACCTCCGCACGTCATTTATCTCCAATTGTATTTTTAATTCACGGCTACTTTGGCTTATGGTTGAGATTGGATTGCTTGTGACATGGAATCTCAGGACGGAATATCCGTCCGGCCTATGAGGCGTGGGTTTGCTCTGTCAGATACAGTCTGTTGATGCTAACCATTGAATGCGGAATTACAGTGAAGGTACTCTACACATTTGACGATGAGAGTAAAACGAATTGCCTGGCCCGGTGGCCTCACTTACTCGACATCCAGACTGCATCCCTGGACGAGCAAACTCAGATTGGTGTCATCGAGCTGAAAACGTGCATTCAAGCCATTGTGTCTGCGAGGTGGGTCGCTCCTGTTCTTGAGCTCAAGCCTAATCGTGCTAATTGATCTTCCTTCGACAATCTAGTCCCGAACTGGTGGCCAAGCTGGGACAAGACTACACAGTATATGCCTATGACTATTCCGAATATGAGACGCCGCTAGTCGGTCAGGGGATGCTCTCATGGGTCCTCGCTTCGGCCTCTCCGACTCCCAACGCACCAGCACATCAATCGAAGACTATGGTAACGGGTCGTGTGTGCAAAAACGTGCTCGGTCTCTTTTCGAAAGGTGCACAAGAAACATTGGAGGTCAAACTGCGATTGGTGCCAGTACCTACTGTTATGCAGAGCGAATACCTCGAAAGCATGCAGAAATATCGGGAGTTGAGCAACATAATTCCTCATGAGTTTGACGCACAATCATGGACAGTCTTCCTTCGTCAGAACCCCGGGCTGCTCGGTCCCTCCAACACACAACCCCTTGACCGCACAACATCACCCATGGGTCACGCTGGAATTGAACGGTTTCACCGGTTACTCAGCGAAGGGTCGACTCCAAGGGAATTGTCTTCGATTGCTCCAAACGGAAATTTTCGGTCTATATCACCTGCGCAGTCCGCGCTTACCGCTCCGAGCAGGGTGTCCACACCTGGCCAACTTCAGCAACATCATGAGCAACTTCAATTACAGCAGGCACCTCAGCTGCTGCTGCAGCAAGAAAGGTCGCACGGGGAAATCCGCCCTTCCTCTAGTGCTTCCATGCGCGATTCTGAGCTGCCTTCGCATGTGCATTATGCCAGCCGCAGGGATTCGGTACAGTCAGGCTATGGAAGCTGTGACGAATCTGCCGACCAACAGCCACGAAAGCGAGCCAAGCTGTATCGAGCGGATTGGCCAGGTAGATCTGACTTCAACATTGAGAGACAGCCAAGCTCTTTGCGTGTCGCAGCCAGTACAGCTGCCTCTGTTCGGATTCACCGTCCTACCCCTGTCAATCCCGCTATCGCTGCTGCCCAGAATTCGAACGAGGAGCCTGTCCGGCCGCCAACACCTATCTCTGGATCGAACGATCTCCCACGCAGAGGGCGACCGGCCCCCAGCCTCCTACGCGAATCGTCTGTTCAGAGCAATAACTATACTTCACCATACCCCATGAGTGATGATCCAGGTGATCACAACTCTCATTCGCCGGAGGAGCCCCGCTACCAGGGTCTGTTCGAACCATCAATCAGTATGCCTTCTTCGCCTCCGGTCTTGGATTGCGGGTTTCCCAATCCATCTAGTCCCGTCCTTCCACCTATGGTAACCGATCCCGACTCGGGTTTCATGAGCGGTGGCCTGGATGATCTCTTAGATGATGATATGGGTACTCCTTTGGAGGATTGTGCAAAGTCGGTCTCGAATGACGCACCAAAGCGCAGACGCGCAACGGATGCTGCAGCACAGGCCAGCTCTCCTATCAATCCTTCCACAGTACCAGAGAATCAGATTGAAAACGCTCCTCCTGCTCCTGCCCCAACTCGCGGTCCTGCCAGTGCGGCCGGCTCGAGGCCACCCTCGCGGGCGAGTTTCAGACAGGCCCCCAAGCCGTTGGCTCCTGCCCCCTTCTCACAAAGTGAATTGGAGCAACTCATGAATGCGATTCCCGCAAGTGACCCCGTCGTTCCGACACATGTTCCTGCTCAATATGCCCATTCCTGGACAGGCCCCATGAGCGACCTCCCCAGCGCTGAGACGCCTACGCCGAAGCCTGTGACCGAGGATGGCAAAGTCCGGAGTGGGGCGGGGGCAAGAAGGCTTAGGCAGGTCCAGGCACGTCTGGATAAGTGTATCCGAGACGGTCAGGTCCCTCCTTACTGCGAGAACTGCGGGGCCATTGAAACTCCCACTTGGCGCAGGGCCTGGTCAAAGGAGTTTGTTGGAGGGGAATCTGATGCCAATGAGCTGATGAAGGATCCCACCATGCTATTCTGGCAGGTTTTGGAAAGGAACGACAAGGATGAGGTCACAAAGTTCAAAATGTTCAAGAAATCCTTGGTTGACGCCGACAATGACTTTGTCCAGATCCTTCTCTGTAACCGTAAGTCGATAGGTTGTTTTTCCCACTGGAATTGCTGCTGACATACAGGAAGCCTGTGGTCTTTGGCTGCACAAATTCAAGTGTATGCGCCCCGAGAACAGATGGAATAAGCCGGCCAGCGGGAAGAAGAAGCGGATGCCCCGGAACCGTAAAGGAGGAGGCCCGCTCTCGGACAATGGTACCTTGGCGAAAATACACCCCAAGCCCCAATCCTCAAAGCCGGCTGGGTCCTCCCCCGGTGCGTCTGATGCCTCGTCGCCTGCGGAAGAGGAAACCCCGCGCCCAGATAATGGCAACGAGAATGGAAACGATCGAGACAATGACGACGACGTTCAAGAAGTGCCGTCCAAGCGGCGTCGTGCCAATAGCGCTGAGCCACGACGGTCGTCGGACACCGCAGAAAAGCGTTGGCAGGAGCAAGATGCAACGGAGGCGCTGCGGCGGGCTATCCAGTCCAGCCCAGCCCGAAACCTTGAGAAACGCCCTGGTCCGGTGGTTGATGAGAACAGCCTTACACCTAAGCCAGTGAGAAGAGCGCTCTTCCATAGTGCTCAGAACGAAGGTTGTCCTCTCAAGCCCCTGGGCGGCTCCGCCCTGAACAGTCCACGCCGTAGCCCTCGCGTTAACTGTCGCGATCCAGGTCAAAAGCCTCAAGACAAGGAAAACGCGGCGATTGACAAAGACCTAGAAGGGTTATTCGAGAGTCCGCCCTTTGAATATGACCTGCCCGCCAGTCCTACCCCCAGAAGACGAAACCAGCGTAGCAACCTGCTGGGAGAGAAGCGCAATTCGTTGCCGTGTATCTCGCCTTTGTCCAAAGCGCGCCTGGAGGGAAGCTCAGACATGACGCCTACCAAGCTCAGCGCGCAGAAACTTCAGCGTATACAGGGCAGTACGACTGTGACCCCCCGTCAAAATAAAACGCCCAAGTCTCTGCGATCTTTAGGACCTGATCTGCCTTCCATGCCCGACGGTGGATTCAATGTGGAGGCCTTGGACAATATTGACAGTATGCTTGTTGATATCTTCGAGGACGTGCCGTCTTCCGCACAGTGTGACTCCTTGTTTTCTTTTGGGCAACCCAAGGACTCGACGAGCGGCAACTGGTCTGGATGGATTGAATCCGACTATATTTCATTGAACGGATCCGACGACCAGGAGGCAAATGGCGAGCAGCGGACGGGTAGGCGCAGCGGCGCGAGTGAGGACGAAGATCTCATCCACGCCATTCTATCCGACCCCGACATCCAAAAGAATGCGCATTTCGATCCATTCCAGTTTACGGGTGCAGGCGCCTTGGACTCTGGCATTTTTGACTCAGATTCAGTCACCGCCGATGTCATCGCTCTCGGCTCCAGAAGCAAAGCCGCCGAGGAGCCCGCGAGCAAGGAGTCGGCTTGAGTGTTACGGACTAATGCCTTATAACCTCTCTCTTCCTCTCACTATTTCCTTTTCCACTTCGATCACCTACATTACACACACCTCGTTCATGATCAATTTTTCAGACTGTCTGCTTTTTCTTAGCGAAGGCGTTGGGCGGGATTCCTGGCAATTTCAGTGAAGTCTTTGTTTTCCCATGCATTTTTGTGCGAAAATGCCCCATATCATGATGTTGTTCTAGCGTTTTGCTCTGCCATCTGACACAGTTGTCAAAAAGCACAAAAGACTGTTTCACTCTACTGTTGTCTAGCCTGACTGTTGGATCAATTTCCTTAGTTACGACATCAAAGGGATGCTATGTCTCTTCTTAGCATTTAGATAATGAACAAAGATATGCATCATACATTATTCGTCTACACAGTACAGCTGCAGTCCACTGGAGAATAGACTTGGTATGACTTGACTCCAACTGAGACCAGCCTTTAAGACCTTACCAACTACAGAACAGCAGGCAGAAGCCTTGGCATGTC